AAATACTATAAATACTATAAATACTATAAATACTATAAATACTATAAATACTATAAATACTATAAATACTATAAATACTATAAATACTATAAATACTATAAATAAAATATCCGTATACAAACATTAACATAGTGCTTTTCGAGAACATACCCTTCAAAATGGATGCATCGATGAATTCTTCATCGTGAACTTATACTGATGCTGACTACGGCTGGAATGGCATATAAAATTCATGATTAGACGTTAGACATGGATGGCTTACACAAGTTCAGAAGCATAGAAACATCGTGAAAAAGCATACCACATTAGAACCCAGTACATGGATAGGTATTCTTCGTAAACAAACTCGCAAGTAAGCGAATGCTTTTAAGGAGATGGAATAAATACGCGCGTGAACAATAGCAACTTTCTGCTCTATTGAATACACAGGAGACGACACAATAACCTCACTACACCGAATCCCGCCTTCACTATTTCGCACTCTCTGTCTCTCTCGACTCTCTCTCGGAGGAAAAAAAAAGAAAAGGAAAATAGACAGATTCCCGGACTTTCGCCACCCCAGCACGCCACACCATTTTTCGGTTCCAGAAATCACCACGCTGCTCAAATGTTTTTCACCGTAACGAGAAAAGCCTCTTAAGCAGGTCGATCGATCGATTCACCTATGTGCCCGTCCTGCTCATCGGCCATAAAACTCGAGTGGCCTTCGTTAACAAGCTTAAGGGGGGGGAAACAGGCGGGAAGATAACGCCGAAAGTGCTACTAAGAGAATGATTGACCTCGTCAAACAGCTCAAATGTGTACCCTATTAAAGGCAATCTTGCCTCAACCTCGAGTCGCTAGCCAATATAAAAAAACCTTTGGATCTCCACTGTACATGAATTCAACCCATCTTGTATGGATTAAACTACCATCTCCGTTCACCAATATCAACCGATGTAAGGACAACAATAAACCAAGCAATTCCAGCAACCGACAGTGTAGTGCGCATCCTCCAAAAAAAAAAAACAGATAAAAGAGAGGGAGAAAAAACAAATCAGTAGGATCAACTCTAACACTGACAGCAAAACTCTCCGGTTAGTACCAGACATGAGGGCATCCGATAAGTCGAGGTAGGGATATGTGCGTGATAAGAGTGATTCGAAACGGCTAGAGAACAGGGTGAGGTACGAGGTTAGTCTAAGAGGATAAATTCAACAGGCTTTTAAGAGTATTCGTGTTTCGTGTCTGGTCTGCTGAAGCGTGACAAGCGTCAGAGACCAATTTCCGGTCCAGATGCGAGGTTTAAAAAAGATTATAAACAGCCGATGAACGCCAATACATGCCCCAGTTGACCCGAATATGGAGATGATGCAAGAAGATTGGTATCACTCTGGATGGAGCGAATCGAAGTCGAAATCCTACTCCGCACCGATTTCGCCGGTTCCCTCCATTCCGAACCCCGCCACAGTGAAGTCGAAAGATCCCGGGTCTGCCTCGTTGTCATGTAAGAACGAGTCGAAGTCGAAGTCTTGAAGGACGTTGTCCGTCTGCAAAGGATCCGCAAAACTCATAGCGTTGAAGTCCTATTCGGGTATTAGTACAGATCACCCAAACTCTGAGAGGAGACAACTTACCATTCCACCGTTCTCCATGGCAAATGAGGCCATCTGCGGCGGGTCGGTGTGTGTTTGCGGTGCCGCAGCCGGTGCCGGAGCTGGTGGGGGAGCAGACACGGAAGCGTTTGCAGCAGGCTGTGCGGCACCCACATTTTGGCCGTTCTTGTTGAAATTCGCCGTGTTGACGGGGGTGACGGGCGTAGGGGGCTCGGGTTCCTGGGCCGCCTCCGAGGCAGGGGTTGCGCCTGTAGCCTGGTTGGCTTTCTTCTGCGCGGTAGCCTATACAGTGAATTAGTTTCGTATTACCAACACTCCTCATAGCAAATACACAACAAATACATACCTTGGCCTTCGCGGTCTTATTATCCTTCTTTTTGGAGACCGTCTTATTGGACTGCTGGGGAGTAGGGGGTGCTGCGGTATTCTGTTGCGGTGACGAGGTCTGTGGGCGGCCCGCGGCGGCGTTGTTTGCTGGAGCTGGAGCCGACGGTGGTGGCATTGCCCTCTGTTGCGGTGTTCCCTGTACCTGGGATGGGGGTCCTTGGGGTCCTCCTTGGGGTCCCAGCCCGTTCCCATTCGGCCCTTGCCATTGCATGGGAGGAGCGCCTTGGGCACCCTGCTGTTGCCTCATCAGCTGAGGATTCATTGGGCCATTGAAGGGCGGGTTCGGATGAGAACTTGGGGGTCGCATGCCCCCCCCATTCATCTGCGCGGCGGCAACCATATTCCCGTCCATTCCATTAATACCCTTGAAGAAGTGAGGCTGCATGCTCGCATCCATTCCATTAGGTATGAAGCCCATCGGGTTGGGCGAACTCCTAGATTGCGCGCCTTCCGCCATAGGTGATGGAATACCGGTGGGGTTCATCTGAGGAGTGCGGCCCTTCATCTGTTGCTCTGCCGGATTAGGGGAAGCTCCTGTCCGCGCTTGAGGTGAGGTGTCTTGGAAGGGTTGGCCGTTAGGTCCAGGTCCACCAGGACCGGTTCCGTCTCCGCGAGGCATCGCGCCCATGCTATCCTGTTCCTGTCTCGCCATCATGAGTCGCTTCTTGTTCTGCTGTTCTAATAGCATCAGCTGCATCTGGTAATCTTGCAGGGCGTGGTTGCTACCGCCCGCCCCTTGAGCGCCGTTAGGACCGGGCCTCATCGCACCAGGGCCGCCCATTTCGTTAGCATTGTAGAACGCGCCGATCTGGCTGCCGTCAGGACCTTGCTGCAACATGGGCGAACCTTGGCCCTGAGGACCAGCAGGATTAGGCATTTGTTTGTTAGGCATCTGCTGGGCTTGGTGTTGCTGTAGGCTCTGCGCGTAGGTTTTGATTGAATTGGCCTGGTTACTCGCAGGTTGGGTCTGGAAGTTCTGGAACTGCTGAGGGGACAGATTAGCTGGGTCGATGCCGTTTGTTGAAAGCATATGCTGAGCAATGGCAGCACTTCTGGGTCCGTTGCCTACTTGTTGCCCTGGCATTCCTTGCTGCGGTCGTTGTCCATTAGGCATCATGCCTCCCTGCTGGGGATTGAACGGTCCTGGTCCATCTAGACGTGGCCTTTTGCTCGGTGACGGTGCGTTCTCGGCTGAACCAGGAGAACCTGGACGATTTTGATTGCCATCCATATTCGACCCGTCGCGCTGCATCTGGTTCTGCTTTGCCTGCTGCTGCATCATGTGCAGTGCTTGCGGGCTATTACGCGGTACAGTTAGCGATTGAGAAATTACAGTATTAGGGAAACGTCTGAGTGAGCGTACTTGTTTTGGTTATTCGCCATAGCAGTTCTCGCCAAGGTAGGTTGCTTCGCGTTGACCTGCATCCCATTTGGCATCGCCATCATGCGGTTTGGTCCGTATAAATCTTGTCGCATTCCCCGTAATATCGCTTGTTGTTCATTTTGTCTGTGACGATTTTGTTGCTGATATTTATCAGTCTCATATACATGTCATAAATCATTCCACGAGGTACCTACCTGCGTATGTTGTACGTAGGCATTGACAGGGGCGCTTATCCCAGGCTTATGCCTTTGGGCCATCAGCATATCCCAGAATAAGCAAAACCACTCGTAGAGGAAACAGTTATCGGCACCTTGCGGAACGTTTGGTGGAGGTAAGTCGGGCGGTCGCTTCGCGTCTATGTCGTCTTTGCTATCAGTATCCATAGGATCGTCGCCAACGCCGTTCCCTAGCATATTCCCGTTCTCGTCACGACGACGACCCGGGCTATCCTTAATGACGTTAAGGGTCTGTTCGCTTTTAAGCATCGCGCGCGCGCAGTCGTACATGCCTTCGCGAAGAAAGTAGTCGTAAATATATGTATTTAGCACCGTCCGGTTATTTCCTTGGGTTTGGACTTGTTGCGCGGTTAGAGTACTGTTCATCATGGGTGTTGGACCGCCAACTGGGCCACCGGCCATAGGCATATTAGCCATGTTTACGTTATTCATGGTGAGATGATGGACAGACTGCGTCTGTCACGATCGGCGTCGTTCAATCACGGCAATAAATGGCCTCTGAATAAAAGCGCATGCGTATCGTCGCGGTCGGCCAACCGTTCTCGGGCGCTTTTCCTTGGTAAGCGACGGAGAAGGGTGCCTGACGAGAAGAACTTTCGGACCTAACGGTAACGAGATGCGCGTACGTGTAATAATCGATTGAATGATTCGGCACGGGAGGTGCGAATAGTGTATACCGGGAAGAGCGATCCTTATTTTGTGAAATCCGCCTGTTTTGGTAGGGAGTAATATTGATTGGGCGAGAGTGTGAATCCTCCGACTATGCAAAAGGAGTGAAAGAGGATGCGACCAAGTAACGCGAGTACGGAAAGTAGTTTCTCGGATATACAACGACCAGAAAATGTGTCAAACGAGGCCGATAAAATAAGATATTGATATAGAAATGCGCGAGTGACGTGTTAGGTCAGCAAGCGAGAAAAATGGACAAGGTGAGAAAAAAATGAAGGTGGTGTGTGCTCGGAATTTTACTACGGCGGCGATGGCGAAGATGGATGAAGGGTGGTAGTCAGGGTAGTCAGTCGATTTAGGTCGGGTGGAATGGGCGTGGTCAGGTCGTGGCGGTGGTAGGTGCTTGATAATAGTAGCACTTAATGGAGGCTGGTGCTCTTACAGCGAATAAGAACGAGGCGACCGTAGGAGGATGATGACAATTGATGGCCTCGTTTTTTCCCTCCTTTTTCTTTTTCTTTTTCTTCTTCTCCTTCTCTCTCTCTCTCTTCTTCCTCTTAATCCCTTTCGTTCCTCGAATAACAAAAACCCCCTCTAATAATTTACTTAACTCGTTCCTTTTAAAAAATCGAAATTGCTTTCGATTTCTCTCCGAACATAGATGAGTTAAAGTAATAAAAGTAGAGATTTGTAAGAATTGGACCCGGTATTGCTCGATAGGTAGGTAGGTACCTAGTATGCCTAATGAATAGCAGATAGGTTGGGTTAGGTAAGGTACCTACTAAAGGCAAGGTAGGGTGCCACAGCGGTTTTAGGTAGGTAAATGGTAGATTGGTAGCGTAGTAGCGTCCACGAGTTAATGTACTCCAGGGCTCCAGTGGTACTAGGTATGCAGAATGCACTGTGTGTCTGGCGATGGGGGCAGAGAGATCCTTAGTCGCCGACGCGCAGCACCTAGGACTATTCCAGTGCAATTATTCTACCTCTGTCGAGTTCTTCTCTTATCCCGTCTCGCTGGCGATCTGAAGACCTATTTTTATTTTTTTTTATTTTTTTGTAAAAAAAAAAATTCTTTTTTTCAATGTAAGATCACGGTGCTTCTTTTGTGGAGGAGCGCCCGTCTTCCTTCTCCAACAACTCTAGTTAGAAGCCAATTGTTAGGCGAAATCGAAATCGCGCACGGTGGATGCGACCTTGCAGACATTCAAAAGACTAAGTAGTTCTATCCAGATATGCATAGGCTCGCAAGAAAAAGGGGGAGTAGGGAAAAGAGGGAAAAGGAACACGGGAAGTTGCCGAATGTCGCGGATAAGGTGGTAGATGGAGAAAGTAAGAAAGCGAAGAATATAATTCTACGGATCTGAGCCGAGACTTGCAAGAATAGTGGCGGGTTGATGGTGTAGGTATGGACCAGTATGTGGTATGTGGTATGTGGTTAGGATGAGTGGACGAGTAAATGTGAATTTGCGTGGAGAATGATTGATTCAATCGTTAAAGACCCCGGGCTTCTGGTGCTGGTGCTGGTGCTGGTGCTGGCTTAGGTGGATTTGGGGGGTTAAAGGCACCTAATGGGCAGGTGAAGGGTAAAAGTGTACTATGGTAAGTGCTAACTTGGAAGTCTGGTAGGTGCCCAGGTGTTAAAAAGAACAGTTGCAAGAAAGCTTACAGAAATGGGGGAGACAAGACTGGGGGGAGATCAAGAAGTATGGGTTGAGGCAGTCACGGTGGGAAAATCTTATGGGTCAGAGGTCCGATTTAGGCGCATATCTGAGAACGCCACTACATCATGATTATATGAGATTATAGCAAGGGGCTTGAGTATCTCCTCACATCCCCGAGCGTAAATCTCAGAACACTTCTCCACAACTTAATCTTGGCACCTCTCATGTCAATTTCAAAACTCTAACAAGCACCGACCCTGATGTACACGTCTTCCATGTATATGTGTGCACTCACTCAAATCCGATTTAACATTATATATTGAATAATAACCAATTATTTTAACTTATCTGAGAGTTCCTAACGGACCTAAATTTAAGACTGTGAAGAAGATCTGTTATTTCTTCGATTATATATGACCTTGAAGGTATAATTTAATCTTACTTTTTAAGTGACGTAGGTTAAGATGTCAAGCCGGTGAGCTGAGGCAAAGACACACCTTCATGATGTACATTCGTACATGTACATATCTATATCTGTAGATAAGAAGACAAGGGTTTAAAGGTTAGGATCGACTTCCAAGTTCGCACTCGTCGATGACAGATCAAATATCCAAATACTTTAAACATGTATTAAATGATTTGATATTTCGGGTTTGGATACAGATTTAGACACCAAAACCTCTACTTTACTCAGTCAAATCTGATCCATCCAGCCGCACATAAGTTATCTTGTCCCCATAGAGCAAGTATAAGATGAGATGAACGAGATGAGGCAATCTTGGAAACAGGTATGAGGTAATGTGAATCCGGCAGTATTCTTCCTCCGCCCTTTCGGTAATCGCTAATAACTGAGACGGAGTACAGTAAGATACTAGGTAGGTATGTATATTGGATGGAATTATCACGATGGTCCCTTCATCCTTCTTTAGTGACTTCTAATCTCGTTGAGGCCGTTGAATCCCAACGAAAGACTAATGATTAGATATCTTCTAGTTGAACTAGTACCTTCTCTATTTTGCATAGGATATTCGAGGTATTCAATGTTGATACGTCACATTTTGGGCTGAATGCCTTACCCCTCTATACCGACGAAAGGCCTTGAACCACTCGTCGGTTATATATCTTCATCATTCTTCTAATCCGCCAGGTTCTCGTCACGTTTGCCCTGCCAGGGTAAAGCCGAGGCTTTGTGGAGGTGTTGTATTCAAACGACACTTTGTAAAATCCGTAAACGTTTTAATATCGAGTACGAATAGGAATATGAATATACGGCACGAACTAGACAAGATCGAGGCTCTCAGTTGCTTATTACGAGTTTATGATGAAGGCAAAGCGAGTGAACCTGCTGACTTCGAAGCACATGGCCTTGGCTTCAATTATCTAAATGTTCAATGAAAGGGTTGGTACCTACTTAACAGGAACATCTTCCGTCGGTTTCCCGCTTTTAACAAATTCCAAAATAAAATGGGTTAGGAGATTCTTTAGTTGGCACATAGCTTACGATGGAATATTCATCGACGATTAATGACATATCACTATCTACCTACCGATCTTTGCTAGGTAAATATTGTCTCGAGTCGAGTTGAGATTAATATAAACATCCATACTGGCGCTTACATAGTAAGTGCCTACCTAGGTACTACATATGTACCTATTTCGGTATGTATGCATACCATGGATACAGAGTATATTTACCATCAATATGGAACGCTAATAATAAACAGGCGTACTTGTGGACGCAGGCACAATTAAATACAATTACCTACACTCCGTGTAGGTGCCAAATGCACATGAGAGAAAGGGGGGAAACACTTCCGATAGTGCTTTACATTTATTCATACTAGGTATGTCCAACATAAGACACGTGAATGCAATCTTTTTTCAAGTTGAACAAGATGCTTCCTCTTGTACATCATAAGTAATCATACTGCCAAGCCATACTTAATTATACGTAGTAAGTTTATCTTATTAGATGTTCTGTGGGTTACAACTTACAAGGATCGCCTAGTTGACGTTGATGTAAGCCCGTGGGCAAAGTACCGGAAGATCAAGCTGCAAGACAGATGGGGCACGAAGGGTTCATCTTTGTTTGGCGGGCTCGGCGGGGCTTAAATCAGCAGAAACGTGGCCCTGATCCTTGGTTCTTGGCCCTCCAGCTCCCATTCATGCGATGATTTTCATCAGTCTCGGGAGTCAAGTGGACCGTCCCGACATAAGAATACCGTAAGTGACGAATTCAGATCCGCATGACGGCATGGCCGCTTGTCCGATCAAAACAATTAGAATGTCTACTATTCTTCCTAGACCCGACCCCCGTATAATATATTTCCAGTAAAAACTCCGATTATGCCTATGGATGCTTTGCGTTCGTTCCACGTCTTCAAGAATATATGTATGTCCCAAACCGAATGCTAGGTTGAGAAATAATTAGGCGATTATAACCTTATTATAAGACATTAGGATGGGGAGGGAGTTGAATGACTTCGGGGATACTTTTTTCTGCGGCAAATTCAACTACCTAGGCACAAGCAAGATGGTGAGCCGGGAAAGAAAAAGATTCCACAATACACATATGGTTGTAGGTCATACAACTAGCTTAATACAAGGCATATATCATGTTACATCGCTAGATAGGTAGGTAGTTATCCCTAGCTACCTACCTAGATAATATTATTATCAACCAATGTCAATCGAAGCATGCAAGGCAGAGGCAACTGATCAGCTTGTCTGTCGGAGCATGTGGTTAGGTAGCTTGCCATAAACTTCCTCGCCATAAGCTAACTAACTAGTCGTCTTCGGGTGGCAGCTCATCGTCGATATACCTGATCAGAGATATTCTCATCTCAGTTGTATCGTTTCCTCGTAGTACGTCGCTGATGAAATGTGCCTCGACCTGCATCTGTACCATCTCAAGTGCTCCTCTTAGGATACCACAAAATATGTTAGAGTACCATAACTCGTCCTGAGCTCTGCCGTCGTCGGGAAGTTCGACGAAGTCTGCTAACGGATTCTCCTCGAAGACGAGAGAGAACTGCTTGCTATCGCCTGTCCAATTTGTCACAGTAGGCGTGATGTTGAGAAAAATCTTAAAGCCGACCTAGTTCAGATGGAGGCAACAGTGGTCAGTTTAGGGCAGTGAATTAGGGGGAACATTCGATTGGAGAAGTACCTTCGCAATCATGTCGGCTGTTTCTCGAAAATTCGAACATCGTCTCATCGTATTAGACTTGGCCAGGTAATCCTCGATTAATCGTAGGCCGATATTGTAACCCATCCTGTCAAGTTGCTTGTTGACCTCGACATAGTCACCTTCAAAGTCCTTGCATAACTGAGCGACTATGGTACCATAGGTCAAGGTAACAAGTTCGGCGTTGACCTTATCAATGCGACCTCTTATGATGAGTTGTTAGAGAAGTATAATATTGTGAATGGCCCACCGACTTACTTCCAAATCCTAAGATATATTAGCAGATAATCTAATGAGGCTGAACGATGTGAACAATGTGCCCACTTACTCTTCGCCCACCCGGGCAGCCTTATTTGCTGACATGCTCGACTAACGAGCTCAGACTAGGTTCATCCAGTTCATCGACCCCTGTTTACTTTTTCTATGTGAGCTTGAGTTATTTTTTCTTTTTTGGATGAAAATTTAATAGTTGAGTATGTGTTTTCTTCCTTTTTTAAAAAAAAGGGTCTTTCATATGAAGTATTAGGTATTGTGAGACGGTGAACGAACGGAGTGTAAAGCCTGGAGGTACATACCTACCTACATGTAGGTAGTCAAGTGCTTGATTCGATGTTGATTGGTTACATTGATATGGTGGGGTAAAGTCGGTGGAAGAAAGTAAAAAATGCCGATATGTACCGTATTCTTCAAAACCAAGAGACGGAAAATTACTGTTCCGCCAAAACATACATCTCTACTACTATGTAGGTACTATGTACCTATGTAGCTTTTTTAGTATCTTCCCAGTGCTTTAACCTTAAGAACTTAGAAAAGTGAAGAGCTTCAACATTCCATAATCAATCCATATCGTCGAAGTCTGCCTAGGGCATGCAGTATACACTACACACATACGGCAAAACATTCAAATCTCTTCGTACCTAGGACCCTACATCCATACCCGGGAATATATTTTCACTCTTCTTCCGCCTTAATTATAGGCTCCCAGAGCAAAGTAAAATAAAGTAGATATGACCGAGAAACGACCTGCGCCTGATGATCCAGGTGCAGGCCAATTAGTTGTCAAGAGACAGAAGCCTGGGACCAGTACCGCATTATCACGTCGAGATGGAGGATCCGTGTCCAGCGCACTGGTTCAATCGGTATGTTACACTTCTATTTTTTATGAGATTGGCTATTGATATTATGTATTATAGACTTGGAACTGACTATATTCTGTAGACTATTAGGACGAGCAACTTGGAAGCGCCGTTGATGGAACTCTCGGGACACTCTGGAGAGATCTTTTCCGCTAAATTCAATCCTACGGGGGCGCTGATTGCTTCGGGTTCCATGGATCGAAGCATTTGTAGGTCTCACCCGATACCTCGCCCCGTGAATTTTAGCTAACTACGAGAAGTACTGTGGAAATCCGAAGGCGCGTGCGAGAACTATGGCGCGTTAACAGGACACCGAGGCGCCATCTTGGACCTTCAGTGGTCTCGCGATTCTGAAATATTATACTCTGCCTCCGCCGACATGCATCTTGCGAGCTGGGATTTAACTTCTGGCACTAGGATACGTCGATACATCGGCCACGAAGAAATCATCAATACTGCGGACATAAGCAAACGAGGCGAGGAACTCTTGATCAGTGGAAGCGATGATGGTACTATAGGCATATGGGATCCTCGGTCGAAGAACGCGGCCGACTTCATAGAAACCGAGTTCCCAATTACCGCTGTGGCAGTTGCAGAGGCTGGTAACGAGATATACTCGGGTGGAATCGACAATGACATCAAGGTCTGGGATATGCGAAAGAAGGCCGTAGTCTACTCTATGCTAGGTCATAACGATACAGTAACTAGCTTGCGCGTCTCTCCCGACTCACAATCATTGCTGTCATACTCCCACGACTCGACGGCGAAAACCTGGGATATAAGACCATTCGCGCCTACCGAACGACACATTCGCACATTCGACGGGGCGCAGATGGGAATTGAGAAGAACCTGGTACGAGCTAGTTGGGATAATGCTGGCAAGAAAATCGCAGTAGGCGCCGGCGACGGGACCGTAGTCATATGGTCGAACGATACCGGCAAGCTTCTTTACAAGTTACCGGGTCACAAGGGAGTAGTCAATTGTGCGGAATTCACTCCCGGCGAGGAGCCCGTCAGTAAGTTACCTCATGCCCAAGCCGCTTCATATGCTCTATTAACATCGTATTAGTACTGTCCGCTTCTTCGGATCGAAGAATGCTGCTTGGTGAGCTGCGTTGATGGAGGTTCAATGCGACAAGAAGAGTGCGGAGATGATCAGATTATCGTGAACGGTTCTAAGTAGCCACGTTCCATCACAGCCTTACGTCACAGATACCCCGATGACTAGACCCCTGATTTCGGATCGTCATCAACACGTTTGATCTAGGCTTGTGGCTCGTTCGATGACCGATATCTACGATGATAGGAGTCGGCTAAGGACTTACGGGAGGATTTTGTCCGGGGTACTATCTCCGAAGATTTAGAAAGACCCTGCGTTTGTCTTGGGGTAGCGTGACGACATCCTCCTAACTAGTCGAGGTCGATAATTCAGATGACCAGAAGACCAGAAGACCAGAAGACCAGAAGACCAGAAGACCAGAAGACCGGAAGACATCTAATCTAGGTAGGAAGCCTCATATAAGCTTTATTCATGTAGTGTAATGTCACAGCATTAAAAATGAAGAAGATCTTACTAGGTACCTACATATGTAGTACCTTAGCAATTAAGTGGCACTTACATGTACCTACTATGTATGTACCTAGGTAGGTACGGCGCGTGTACTTCGTAGGTTTTACCTTTTTATAATAGTTGAAAGTACATATGTGTATTAAATACCTACAATTGTCGATGTAAGTAATATTGAATAGGTAAGTTATCTCGTATAATATCGGCGAACCGCGAGTCTTCTATATAATTTTTTTTCTTTTCCTTTTCTTCTTATTTAATCCTACTAATAATAAGAGTCAATGGTACCTTGCCCCCTTTCTTGGTTATAATGTCAAATACATGATTCTGGTACCTACTATTATGTAGTAGTAATACTAGGTAGTACATAATGCGTATGTGACGATACGTACCGAATTCCGAAACACTGGATGTTGGCGATACCCCTGCAGTCAGGTTTCATCTCAGGCAGCCTCGGCGCCTGCGGTATGGCCAAGAGAACGGACCTCTGGGTGGTAGGTTCCCCCCATCCTTAAAAGGGCGAGATTTTATTGGTCAACTCCCTTTTCTCAGCTACGATCATAGGTCACTAGCTGTTTTGTATGCCTGACACTGGTCATCTTTCTTCATGCTTCATCAGCGATAACGATGGTCGATTAAGAGTAAGAGGGTTACATCCTCCGGATTTACAGATGAGACCGCCAAAGCTTTGGATGCGTTCGTTAGTCCGCTTCCAGCTTGTTTAGCTTGTCCAGCCCGATCAGCCTGTCGTCTCTCTTTACCTATTACCTATTATTACCTACTACCAAGTCCACCTCTTCCTTCTTTTGTCTGTTCTCGTGTGTGTTGTATTATTGTGTTGTGTACTTTGTAATTCTTCCCCTCTCCCTTTCTCCCTCTCTTCCGCTCTCTCTCTCGTTTGTAGTTCTCTCTCTTCGTTTCGGATTTACCCTCCATTAGAAGGGCTAATTGACAGCTCTCTTGGTGAATGGAATTGTTGTTGTAACCCTCTTGTTGTTGTTGTTGTTTCTTCTTCTCTACCTACTTAATTTATCGTCCCTCGTTTTTACTCATTATTAAGAGCAACGGGCTTTGAGAGTTCCGATTCCAATTTCCCCATACGCGAAAAGAGGCGTTTAATTTGCCTGTATTTATTCTCCGAGTCAATAATTCCTTCTTTTTCTTCATTGAATCTGGCTGGCCCTTTTATTGTTTATATCCAAGACATACAATTTATATCGAACCTGCAGGTACCCGAGTTCTTCTTGGTTACTAAGAAATAATCGATTCGTCCAGAGTCTTCGTGCTTGAAACCAACTGCACGTAACTTCTAAACTAAAGAAGACTCGTGCCTCGCCAATCGATCAACACACCACTACTATTGGCACGATCCCTCTGTATATACGCTAGGTCGGCCTGGTTTGACCATCCGCGTTTGTTATAGACCACATTCGTCCGTGGTGCTGTTTGGATTTTGAATATCAAGCGAAGCCGGCGAACAAAGCATGTATGACATTGGTCATCGGTGACATCAGGTTCAACGCTTAAGAAGCAACGTATCCGCCTTATCATAGCCATGGACTACGTCCGGACGAACGTTCTGGGGAGATCTCAGTCATCGGAGGGGCGGACACAAGACTCTGAACAGCAGAGGTTGCCAGAGATGGGTGAGCAGAGGGGTTCCCGTACGAGACGCTTCTCGATAAGCCGGCCGCCCTTACCAAGCTTATTCACGAGTCGATCGCGTATGGATAGACAGGATGGACGGAATCAGAGGACCGAAGGCGATATACCCGAGGACGATAGCCCGAAGACACCGCGCTTCAACCTAGGCCTTCCCAACATGCCTTCTACCCGTCTGCACCTACCGAACCTGACACGAACCTGGACCCGTGGATCATCAGGTCCGGCCTCGCCCACCCAAGCGTCACAGCCGCCGCCCGAACCCACACCTCAACTCTCATTACCTCGGATACAAGTCGAACGATTGCCTGCCGTATCCCAGCCACCACCTTCCCATGGGGGTCCCGATACGGGGCGCTCACGATATCGGGGCGCCGATCCCGGAGAAACACACTTGGTCGACGTGGTGGGTAGAGGGAGACGGCAACGTCATAGTCAAAGCAGGACACATACACCGGAGCAGCGGCCCAAGAAATTATTGTTTTGTTTCCCATGGATCAAGTCGCGGCGCATGCGTTCTTATATCTTGCGGTGTTTCGTATCCGGCATTTTCTTGATCGTTATGCTCGCTGTTTGTGAGTGGTTCGGAACTGCTCTTTACATTGATATTCAAATATTAACAATCATTAGATCTCGCCCTTTCAATCACGAAGAACGTCAACACAAGCGAGTTTACGGTGCTTCTGATACTCATAATTTTATTTGCAACCATCTTCTTCTGCCACGGGCTCATCAGGATCTGTATGTTGATTATCAGGCCGCCGAACGAAGAGGACGAAGAACGTCCGTCTCTGCCACGGTTATTGGAACCCGGTGGCTACGCAGTTCCGCGACGGCCAATTCATGTCATTCTTGCGCGTGATGAAGAGGCGGCAGGAATCGATGATACCTCAAATAAGATGCAGCCTCCGGCTTACGGCTTATGGCGCGAGAGCGTGGTATGTATACTTCACCCAACTTTCAAATTAGTATCAACTTCACTTACAGATCTTGCAGCGTGTGGACCCTGATCGCCTCTATTGGCAGCGTAACGATCAGCCGCCCAGGGAGGGAGGTGAAGAGGAACCTCGACCCGGAACGGCGCGGCCGCCTTCGTATGCGTCCGAGGACGGTGTCAGCTATGTAGTCGAGGCCCGTCCAAGATCTATGGTTCCAACGACGGACGTACCGCTTCTGCCTCATCCCGAGGCCGGACGCCTTCGGTGAGGCAGCGAGTCCTGAATGCTTGGTTATAGAGCATTAAGAGAGAGTCTGCCCTCCTAAACTTATGCGAAGTATATAATTAGAGAGTAAAAAGGGGAGGAGGAAAATGTGTAATTACCTGTGTACGGTACCAAGGTAAAGGGGCGGGCAAGGGAAAATCAGAGCAAAACCACGTATCCTGTGTGTATATCTTATTCTTCTAACGCGCCGAATCGTATTGCACATGTGGCATGGGATTACACACGCATATAGGTTTCTTGGGTTCCAGCACCGGCGCTATGGGAGTGAGGATCGTTAATATTGCTTTCCAGAGCTATTGTGTAACTGTAGGCAGTTGTGGAATTGTCATAGCCTGCTGATCAAGTTGAGTTGTATTTTATTCTCGCTTGGTGTCAGACCAGTCGGATAAAATTAGGGCTCATGGGATCTATAGTTGTATAGACGTGCGTGCAGTCCTAGGTTCTGAGTTCTATCTCGTTCTATCGGCTAAGATGTGGGTAGTCAGGTAGTGTAGCTACCTAGGTGTCTACCTGTCAGGAGGTCGTTCGTATTGTCAGGTGATCTTGACGTTCAGTTCTTCGCGCAGTTGTGTTACCTGTCTAGATATCCTAAGTCGTTATACGAATAATATAAAATTAGGTAGGATCTGCTATATGAAATGCGTAAGGGAAGAGTCAAGGGGGGGGGTCAACTGAAGAAATAGGTCAGGTGCTGTTTCGTGAGGCGACGATCACGAATGGGTACTTTCCCTTACGCACTGCGGGTAGTTTTGCGCCGAGACTCGAGATGGTTAGCCCAGATGAAGGGTAATGTGAGATTTTATATAATAGGCCTGGCTAATACGCAGGCATGTACCGTATATTGTAAGCATGATGTTGTTAGTACCTACTTGGTAGTATAGAAAGTATAGGCAGTGTTTTGAAGAAGACTCGCAAGGTTGGACCGTAATCCATTGATAGCCAGATTCTTGGCAGCAAAAGGACCCGAGTATATTTACAAGCTCTAACAAGGCGTAACTAATCAAGATCGTGGTCACAGTCGCAACCCGGAGAGCTGGTGATGTTGGAAGCAAGATCAACAAGGCGGAAGCGCCGTTCTGAGGGTCCCGGTATTGCGACGGAGTTTTGATTGGCTAGCACGTAAGTCTAAGGGGGGAGGGGGAAAGGGTCATGTACATAGAAGGCTCTGTTCTGCAGGTTATGTAGACCGCGTATCCTGGTGAAAGGGAGGAGGGCGGATGCATCTATCCTTGCTCAAAGACCGAAAGGCATTGGATCGTTACAATATATTACCGAAGCTATGTAGTATACGGTCGTGTGTCAGCGATAATATGCAGGCTCTATGTAAATTCTGAGATGCCTACCTAGGTACGTGATAGTATATGGAGGCTAGCACTATACGTACATTCTTGATGGTGAACCTATCTCGTAACTAACCTGCCAAGGCTAACCTGGCTAACCTGGCCAACACGACCTAATCAAGTAAGTTTCCAACTACGATATACAGACTGTTCCAGATTACCACCCTGTCCTCTATTTCACTCATCCCATCCCGCTCCGCCCAGCTTCTGCGCGTCGTTCGGGCCTCAAGTCCTATAATGTGGGGTCGGGTAGCCGTACGTATAAGCAAGCGAGCAAGCAAGCAAGCAGGTAATCATGCTACAATGGGCGGTTCAGCTCCAGGAACTCGCATAGGAGTCTTGCCGAGATGGAGATGGTTCGTCCTTGATTATTGGTGTATACTAACTTATGTGAGTACTAGGTACCTACTAGTTACCTACTTAGTATACCTACTAGTATAGATGGGTATACCATGATCGTGTAATCGGTATAGACATACAATACTACATACTAGGTAGGTACATATGTATAAGTCATGAGTATTATATAATAATAAGTACCTAGTATGCAATTGTTAACCACCTAATAGTGTTATAACAGAAACTAATAAGCGTCTCTGGAGGGGAAACATACTAGTACATACTGTCCACCCGAGGATCAAACACGTGAAAAGAAATGGGATAGCTGGCCTCGTCGGATAACTCGCTAAAAGTTGTGTAGGAATATGCTAGTGAGACTTTGGATCCCTTTTTAATCCATGCTCTCCCTGCCTACTACGTACATACCTAGTATTAGGTAGGTAGTAGGCAGTATTAGGTAGGCAGTAAGTAGGTAGGGAAGTAGACACGATGAAATTTCTGCTGTAAGTCATGCAGGGCAGCAAACCGTAAGACACTAGAGTAAAGGGGGAGATCTATGTGCTATTGTTATTGGTTGGCGACTCGGCGAGTTGGTGCCAATGTGGAAAAGGAGGTTTGTCTACCACTTATTAGTGCGCCTTTTCATCAATCCATACGACGTAGTTTATCGATCTTCAGTTGCTTTACGGGTCTTTTTTTATGTATCGCCAATTCAACCGGGGGGGTTGTTATGGTTATGCGAAAAAAGACCTAGGTAGATATTTAGAAAGAAAATATATTGTGTGGATAGGTAGATCACAGTATAGTCTGGTAACACAAGTTATGTAACACAGAGATGCGGGATAGAAGGTTATATGCTACGTTGAAACCCTTGAGGGAAGAAGAAGAAAATTGAGACATTCCAACGCGGAAGGAAACAAATTATAATAAAACAAAACAAGGAAGTTTCGAATAAAAAAAATTGGCTAGTAAAAAAAAAAACGAGGTGGCCACCTGAACCTCCTCCCATAATTTGAAGATCCATCCGCTAATAGGTAAGTTAACCCTACTGAGGTATGCAGGGAAGGTGTCTCCTAAAGTATTTGTTACCTTATTAGAGACCAAAGATGTCATATTATTTATAATAAGGTTAAGTTGATGTTAATGTATTCGGTACTTTCCCTCTCTCTTTTTTTTATTTTTTTTTCCCTCTCTCTCTTTCTCTTAGAGGAGAATGTAGCCCCTTCGCCCGCTTCGGGATCCACTCGCCTCTGGATCTGTCCCCTCACTCCGGCCCTTGCCCTTTCCCTCGTCCCTCTCTTTCTATTTTCTCTCAACCCTTCTTTTTTCCTCTCGTGATTCCGATATTACATCTTCATCGCATCATACCGCATCGCATCGCGTATTATCATAAACTCCCCCCTTGGAGGTCGCGCAGTGTTAGGAGACGTCGTCGCTCGGAAGAAGAGAAGAAGGCTGCTGTTGTTGGTTGACGGATAGCAGCAGAGAACAAGAAGGAAGAAGTAGAGTTGTGTTGTGCTGCGAAAGGAATAAGCAGGGAAATCATTGTAAGTGTCTAGAGCTCTCCTTGGTCTGCTTATGTTACCCTCTATTTTCCTACTGCATCATATGAAAATTGGCCCGCGGCGCAAATGGTGGTAGTGGTGGTGTGTGGTACAGCAACAGGTCCCAGAATTCGACATGTCTCTTTTATTTTTGCGTCCTGTTGTACGACGGCAGTCCCTAGACAACATATCACTATGGTTATATGAACGAAAATACGACTGCGACGACGACGAAAATAGCGATAGCGACTGCGACAACGAACGTGGCAGCCATGGTTTATGCGATTTTATTGCGCGCGCGCATAATTTAATATTGATGGATCCCGGCGCGCCGTGGGAAAACCACCAGTAATCCACCTTTACGCACGTAACTTGCGATCAATGCGCCGACGTAATAACAATTAAAGACTTTCTCGCCTTTCTATCTTTTACACCACGCACAAAACGGGTTTCGATCGTGGGATCTATAATATTTGGCGACGGCAACATCTCACGCTTACTCGCTTCATTTCCTGGGCGCGCGACTCGATTGGTTTGCGCATAAGCGGCGGCCACTTCTAATACACCTTCATAACTCGACACTTAGATTTTCGCCACAACATTCATCATTCCTCTTAAAACCATGGAACGCGATCGTGCGATATTCGGGAATCATGTCACGCTCTTGATATGCGCAGAATTGCGATCCGCGCAATTCGGCACGAGATGCGCGTAACCCTCAAGAAATGTCTTTGAAATCACTAGACACGGATAGGACTCGACGGGACCAGTGCGAGAGACTGCCATCTAAATGATATTCCGTACATCTATCATCTATCTCGCAGTTCTGTATCGGGTCGTGTCGCACGAACCCAGCCGTCTCTGCAGCCAACCTAGTCAACCTGCAGGTTCTGGAAAACCACTCAATCACGCTGCCCACCCCGTCACCCATCGTGGGGTATTTTACCCGGCAAACGATAGCACGTGGCGGTACCTTATTACCGCTTTGGGTAGCATCCAATTGATTACCTACCTCGATATCTGCTTCTTGGCGCGTTGAACGAATCGTGGGTGGCGATATTTGCCAATTTCTCTTTTTGTTTCTTTTGCGAATCCGAACTGGACCATTCCGGACTATCCTGAACTACCATCTTGTCCGATATGCCTGCTGCCGCCGCCTCGGTTGGGGGTTGGCTACAAACGGATAAGAGAACCAATTTACCACTACCGCTACCACTACCGCTACCGCATCGTTGCAAACGGGTCATCCGAGAATGGATAGTTGGAGATCAAGCTTATGTGAAGTGTCGCGCTGATGATGGATCTACACAGACTCACAGACTTGTCGCAATGTCGTCTCTATCTCGTCGAGCCTGCTATAAGTGTGGCAATGTTGGCCACTATGCCGAGGTTTGCTCCTCCGCCGAGCGCCTTTGCTACAATTGCAAACAACCAGGTACGATTCCGTCATATAAATCTCTCGTGCCCGTGTCTCCCTTTTTAGCTAACAGTCCACGCCCAGGGCACGAATCTAACCAATGTCCTCTCCCTCGTACCACAGAGGCAAAGCAGTGCTACCACTGCCAAGGTCTCGGGCATGTCCAGGCTGACTGCCCTACCCTCCGCTTGAGTGGTGCTGGTGGTAACGGACGTTGCTATAACTGCGGCCAGCCTGGCCATCTGGCTCGAGCTTGCCCCAACCCGGCCGGTGTTGGAATAGGACGCGGCGGACCGGTTAGCCGTGGTGGATACAACAACTTCGGCCGAGGCGGCTTCGCTGGCGGTCCCCGACCTGCCACCTGCTACAAATGTGGCGGCCCCAACCACTTTGCGCGCGACTGCCAGGCTCAGGCCATGAAGTGTTATGCCTGTGGAAAGCTTGGTCACATCTCCAGAGACTGCACAGCGCCTAATGGCGGTCCTCTAAACACTGCTGGCAAGACCTGCTATCAGTGCGGCGAAGCTGGTCATATCTCCCGAGATTGCCCCCAGAAAGCTACCAATGGCGACGTACCTGCTGAGGTCGAGATCCCTGCTGCTCCGGCCATCCCCCCGGTAGCATAAGAATGGGACCTCTTGATCTGCGGGGCACTCGGCTCAGTCTCGTCTGACAGCATTGATCCTCACGGCCGCTATTTCAATAGTGGTCCTGTACGGGTTGGTTGTTTTGAATGCTAGACTGACCATTTCTGACGGGTTGCTCGCCTGCCTGTTAACGCCGGATTGCCTAGGCGAATTGTCCAAAAGGACATATGAAATCTTGGATAATCTCATTTCCTTGCATCGCATCTTGAATTATTAAAATCTAAGCATACCAAGCCTTCATCTATTGTCTGATTTATTACGCTTCTTATCTTCTGTTGCCACCTACCCTTCCAAAATCTTGAGTCATTCTACCTATTTACCCATTCTCAGGTATTCTACCAGGCCGAGCTTCTATCGTTTCAAAAGCGTGAGTCGTACTGCATCGCTTGAGAGTTGCCAAAATTTACGTGGAAAATCGCTCTTTCGAATGTCTACCGACTACCTTTTTTGTCCCTCCATCATCTTATTATTTTTGTCTGGCATGACTCATGGCGTACATGATACGATACGGCTAGACCTCCCCGTTGCGTACAATATGGTCGATACGGACGAGTCTTTTTCTTATTTATTTTTTCTTTAATAAATTGGGTGCGAGTACAAACTCCGGATCAATCGGATCAAAAATCATTCTTCAGATACCCCATTTTCGCCCTATTGTATTATGATTACCAGGGTCGAGTAGAGTGAGAGGAGTGTCATTTTGACGAGAGAGAAAAGGGGGCGGGCGAATCTGTTCGCATCACGCAAACAGTACCTTTCAACACGTAATGCCTCAGAACGGGCGAAACCACGAGCAAACGACACAGAACTCGAAACTCGAAAGGAACTTGACCGCTACAGACTTGGCAGGAGGCAAGCTGTGATGGAACAGGGCCTACGCGTAGAGGAATAACCTGCAGAGAAAAGTCTCTAAGGGGAGATCGCGAGGCAAAGGGCGGAAGTAGAGTGAGTGAGTGAGTGAGTGGGGACGTGACAAACTTGACAGCGACACGGAAAGTAGGAGAAGGATATTTATGATACTGCCGTGCTAGACCTCGCGTGAGGACGCAAACACTTTTTTTTTTGAAGCATCAGACGTGTTGGGACGAACGTTGACGGTAGATGTATCGCATTTGTCACGAAAAAAGATCACTACCAAAAATAAAAAGAAAAAGAAAAGGAAAGGGGGTTCGTTAGTTGGTAGAGTAGGAGTATTCTGTCGTCACCGATAAGCCGAGTCAAATCAAGTCAGTCGAGTATATTATCTCGTAGTACCGCGTATGGGCTTGTAACATATCATGTATCGTCGTCAAGAAAAACGAGATAACGGCTTGCTTACCGTGGGCGGGTTTTATCATTTTGTCATACTTGGTAGGTATGGTAGGAAACGGCTCGGATAGGAACAACAGTAAGGGCATCAAATCACTAACTCGTTTAGTAGTGGAGGTATGCTAAAGTTGATCATACCGTATTCATGAGAACCCAGCTAAGAGCTTTGTTCCGGTAAACACGTTCTCAAAGATACGACGATTAGGTATATTGCTTGATCAGGCTACCTGATTCGTTCGAATTGCAACTTATCACTTCAAGCTCGGTTCTGACCTGTCGTCTTCCTGACCCAAACCTCGCCAACCGGATCACCATGGTCTTGAACGCATTCCCAGTCTCCGGTACCGTACTCATCTGGGGCTCTGCGCATTCCACGTCCGCCCCCACCGATAATCAGGTTTCCAGGCCGGTAAGTTTTATCCTCTTTCATCCGTCGAATTACTGACCCGTGAACCCTGGCTGGTGTATGAAAACATCCTGTGTTAGCATTTTATTCACTATTTTCTTTAACCTATCAGAATATTTAACTCACTATGAGAGGTTAGCAATGAACGGGGTTACGAGAAGTTCGAAGATTATTCTATAAAGGAGTTTAAAATGTACAAACGAGATGTTTTCATACGTACCCAGTGTTAGGAATATCCCGCACCTCTCCGCGCGGTAGGGGATAACGGATAGGTTTCCACGATCCATCAGGCTGCAAATCCATTCGTCTGAAAGGCATATACTCCACTGAGATATTTAAGATTAGCAATCGTCTTCCGGGGCCTATCCAAGCCAGGAGGGTTAGTGGGTTAAGGATTACGACGTACTTATCTTCCAACTCAACACTTGGCCTATGGTGAGACCTGACGAAAATTCAAGGGAGTCGTGAATTCTGGCCAAGTGTGCCTTGTGGAGCATATCATGGAAAGGTCGAACCTCATTCTTTTCTTCATCCCCGGTGTAATTAAAGTGATCCCAAACTGTAGGTTCGGCACCAGTTTGAGACATTCCGATCTGTGGGCTCGGCTTGTCGATGCGAATATCGGGCAGGGGGCCATCAACATGATTGTTATTGCAGTCAGAATCGCTGGATAGCTCAGTAACACCCATTTCAACCAGTTTCTCGTGATCGAAAGTCAGACCTGCCCTTTGGGCTTCTCGGATCATATACGTCAGGGGGACGTGACTGGTAGACTTGCTGTCTAGACTGATCTCCCACCCACCTCCGACATCTGCGTGACCACCAGCAAACCAGATCTCATCGATATCCTGTTCATCGTCATCCGACTCTTCGCCATAGTCTACGATACGGGAGTGGTAATCCCCCGCCTGGCTTGTTAAGTCAACAGAATCTTTTGTCGTCCGAGATCTAGACCTCGAATGGGGCCGGAATGCTTGTTCTTTGGGTGGTGCTAGAGTTTCACGACGCCCTCGCTCCGGCTTTCCGTCTGAGTTAGACCCCATAACGGCGCTTCGCTTTGTGCGATACTTCTCGTGGACTATCTCGTGCAAGTGTCGGTGTCTTTGGCCTTTACTGGCTCCTTGGTAAATGAGATCCTGTCTGAACTTGGCGCGCCGTTCGTCTATGGATACGCAATGCCGAATGACCTGTAAGGAGTTGTAAGTAAATAACTATGCTAACAGGGAGTAGGTAACCCGGTAAGTAACCCAGTAGGTAAATAAATACTCTCACTAGGGCTATATATAACGACCTACCTTAGCGCTGCTTCTCGCTGTATACGGCATTTTCGATCTTTGCATCCAAGCTGTTTCGAAACGAGGCACGGAATTAACTGTGTCGAAGAGTCCTAGAAATCGGATTCTCTTCACGGGTCGGCTAAAGGTCTCTCGGAAGCCTTTCATGAAACGATACATTTCTCGTCGCTTAGCCTGATGCTCTTCGGTCTGCCCCGCTTGACGACTCTGCCACGATGAGAAAGCTTTCCAGGCGAATGTGACCATTTCTTCGTTGCCGTGAGAGAGCAGACCAATATAGTCCAGCATCTCGGCCAGGAATCGCGCCACGTAGGCTCCACGAGAGAAACCAAAGAAGAAAATCTCATCGCCCGGCTGGTAAAAGCGCATGAGGAATCGATAACCACCGACAACGTGGTGGTCGAAACTCGAGCCTATCGCGGAGTCCTTGGCCTTAAGATACCATGATCGGATTCTAGCACTCAGGCTTGTGTGAGACAACGAGTTAGAGACGACGTATGTTCCTATTCCAGGTTGATAGTAGTGATCTAACAAAGACAATTAGCAAGGCCGTATAATGGTATGGTATTTTGTTTGGTGGGTCTCATTTGTACACTGATTACCGGCCTCACGATCCAAGCATCTGAAGATTTTTAATATATTGCTGTCGCTATCATCTCCCCTGAATTTATTGCCAGTTCCATCGAAGCACAGCACGAGCTTCCGCGGAGCTTGCAGGACGTTTGTTGGATTCATGCTGCTGGCCCACGCATGGGGATGTTCAGCATCGTCGACGCTTTGGCGAGCTGTTGCCGTATGCTCTTTTGCGTCTTCGCTGTCTGGCGGATGCCGCGCTTCTAGTGACAGGTGAAACTTGTCCATCTAAGCAACAGGTACAGAGGGTAACACCGTGGTGTGGTGATCAACGAAACGCTTACGCGGCACACCAGCAGGAGCAATTCAGCTGGGTAGGTACCTAGTATGTATAACGAAAACAAGCTGGATGGCTGTCCAGTGTACAAGACATCTTTGTAGACGGCCGGACGCAAAAAAATCTGCACGAAGTTAGTGACATGATTTCAGTGTTCAACTATTGGAAGGCTAGGGTAGAGAGAGTTGTGTCACGAAGGCGCCCGCGTGTCTCGGAGCATGATATGTTGATCTCTGCAAATCATGCCTATAGAAGCAAGAGGCATTCCTCCTGTCGAAGGGTTGGTGAATCCAATCCCTTGGAGCCAGAATGACCGTGATGCATGAGAAACAACTAGCTGCAGAGAACTGAAAAGCAAATACAGGCGCCACTATGTAGGTAGGTACCTGTTCATCCTCACGCCTCGGTATCGATGATTTACGATTTGTCGTGATGACGGCAACCGGGAGATTAGGGAACTCATGGTCAAGCAACTGACGTTGTAGAATTATATGCATGAGGCTGCAATAGAGTAGGCCTTGGCCAACTAGTTCATAGATACTCGACAACCGTGATTGGCAGTACCGGATAGAACAGGTGTGACGAAATATTACCTCTACAGCGCCCACTGGTCAATAGAGAAAATTGATGTTGATCATTACCTTCCACGGATATTCAGCTCTCTACCTACCTGGTTGAACAGGTTGACTACCTACCTACCCTGCCTACCTACCTAAGGTTGGAGAGTTACAGTTACTCAGATGTATGAAAAGATGTAGCTAGCCGCTTGAGTTACTAATCGACAAATGCCGATACGCCCCTTACGCCCCTTACGCCCTGCTAGGTTAAATACCTATGTATCACGCATTTCTTTTTCCGGGACGAGAAAATATTCCAACTAGAACGATATCCTGAGGTAGCTAGCGCATAGGAAATCGTACTATTGACATAATAGAGCGAATTAGGGTCCAGTAACCTAGTAGGTGGTTTCAGGGAGTTCAGCGCCACCATAGTCCAGGTAGCCTCCATCGACATTTGTATCGATCATATCCGTTCCCTCGGGGTAGACAATAGCGTGAAGCGGTGAATCGATATTGACACTACCTACTTAGCCATCCACCCCTTTTGCTTCTCTCTTTATTTCTTCCTTTAACCACGTACCCCACTCTCCTATGCATATCATGTCAAGTAGTTAGGTAGGTACAGTTACAGCTTACTTTTAGACGGGAAGGGATATGTCGTGTAAAGCATGTATTGGCTCTGGATCTATCCGATAGTGTCGATACTCCGATTATACTCGAAGATTGGAGCGGAGAACTCCATGTATAGAGTAACCTTGAACCTGATGAATGACCGATCAAGGGCAGGTAGCCGATATTTGTAATACGGTAGGTAAGTGCATAGGCTTGGACGCATTTAAATTGTGATACCAGACATACCACCTTATGAAATCATCGGACTTGCACGGATTACCTTTTTTGACTGTAGAATTCCCTTGGCCGAGGCAAGATGGCGAGCGCAAAACTTGACAACGGAACCTACGAGACAAACGGAAGCAGGCTTCAACACGCCAACTCCAGCAGCTTCACCACGATGAGCAAGTCTTCAGCAACGTCTTCCACCTCATCTCGCAGAGAGAAGAAAGAGTATGTTCCGAAGGCTGACCGCGAAGGGGTCTCCAGTGTGTTTTCCCAGTTCGGGCAATTGCTTCGAGCTTCGCAGAGACCTCTTCCCACAGAGAATGGAGATGGCTCCTACATCAACACAGGGATCCAAAGAACGGGGCTAAAGAAGGATTTGAGATACCTTCGTATGAAAGGTACACACCCATCACCTACCTACCTACCTATCTATCTACCTATCTACCTCTTAATCAGCCATTGCGACAATGATAGCACTCACTAACTAAGCGTAGATGTGAAGACGGTTCTCGATCTTGCTCGGAGCAAGATTAAAGGGGAACAGCTGATAGACGATAAGACGATGATTATGGAACGAGTTATCCAGCTCGTTGCGGGACTACCTTCTCAATCACGACTTAGAGAAGAGTTGACCAATACCTTCTTAAACGAACTTTGGGACACCCTAGATCATCCGCCGCTGCTATATATGGGAGAGAAGCATGAATATAGAATGGCAGATGGGTCGTGGAATAATCCAACGAACCCTCAGCTTGGAGCAGCTGGTTCAACATATGCCCGAACTTGCCGACCGGGTATTGTGCCTTTGGGCGCATTACCCGACCCTGAGATTATATACGAGTCGGTCATGAAGAGGACAGAATACCGCAAGCATCCGAATAACGTCTCTTCGGTTCTTTGGTATTGGGCTACCATCATCATACATGATCTGTTCTGGACGGATCAGACCGACATCAGCAAGACGAAGACATCATCATTCCTAGATCTGTCTCCTCTCTACGGTAGCAACCAGGCTATGCAAGACTCCGTGAGGACTTTCAAGGACGGGATGATGAAGGCCGACTCTTATGCCGATAAGAGACTCCTTGGCTCGCCACCTGGTGTATCTGTCATACTGATCATGTTCAATCGCTTTCATAACCACGTTGCGGCCAACCTCGCTGCTATCAACGAGGGCGGTCGCTTCACGCCACCGCCTCCGGGGCTTAGCGAAGAGAGAGCGACTGCAGCGTGGAAGAAATATGATAACGACCTTTTCCAAACGGCTCGTCTGGTCACCTCAGGATTATATATCAACATCACCCTCGTGGACTACGTAAGAAACATCGTCAACCTCAATAGGAGTAACACAACTTGGACACTTGACCCGCGTGCAGAGATGGGCCGCGACGTCGGTACCAATTCAGGCTCAGACCGTGGGACAGGAAGCATGGTGTCTGCCGAGTTCAATCTCTGTTACAGGTGAGCAATACCCATCTTATCCACATTGAAGCCACACTTGCTTAAACGATCGTAGATGGCACTCTTGTATCTCGGAAAAGGACGATAAATGGGTCCAGGACTTTTACCAAGATCTATTCGGCAAAGATCCGTTAGATCTGAGCCCACAAGAGATGTTCAGGGGGTTCGCCAAATTTGATCAAAAAATTCCAGCTGATCCTGTGGAGAGGGTCTTCGGGGGCTTCAAGCGTGATGACGACGGAAAATTCAAGGACGACGATCTCGTCGGCTGTATCTGCGACGCTATAGAAGACTGTGCCGGGGCATTCGGCGGCCGTAACGTGCCACAATCGATGAAGCCCGTTGAGATATTGGGAATCCTCCAGGGGCGGAAATGGAACGTCGCTGGCCTGAACGAGTTTCGAAAGCACTTCGGGCTTAAGCCGTACGAAAAGTTCGAGGATATCAATTCCGACCCTGAGATTGCCGGTTCACTCCGACATCTCTACGAGCATCCCGATTATGTCGAACTATACCCGGGACTAGTTGCCGAAGAGGCGAAAGAACCAATGGTCCCTGGCGTTGGAATAGCCGTAAGATTCCCATGTGTTGTGGCCGGTCTGTTGAAGGGACAAGAATACTAATTTACAACCATATAGCCGACTTATACTATTTCTCGTGTGATATTATCCGATGCCGTCTGCTTGACACGAGGAGACCGTTTCTACACTACTGATTACCACCCCCGTGGCCTCACATCTTGGGGTTACAATGAAGTAGCCTATGACCTGAATATCAACCAAGGCTGTGTGTTCTACAAGCTCTTCATCCGGGCTTTCCCAAACCACTTCAGGGGAGATTCGATATATGCTCATTACCCTATGGTCGGTGCGTATACTAATGAGATACCTGCCGTATAGGTACCCAAATACCGAATTGGCTAACCAATGATGATAGTTCCGAGCGAAACAAAGAAAATCATGACGGGCCTCGGGCGAGTTCACAACTTCAATTATGACCGCCCGTCGTCTATCCCAGCCCATGTCAACGTCACGACGTATAACGGAGCACAGCATGTATCGGAGAACCAAGATAAGTACAAGGTCATAGGTAATGAAGGCTTGTCATTCCTTGCGGACGTTGGGGGAAATCGCTTCACGATCTCCGGAGACTCCGCTTTCTACGCCAACCAGCGAGAGTTCATGCAGGACCAGTTATACAAAGAGGATTGGCGCTCTCATGTCAAGGACTTCTACTCCCAGATCACGGACAAACTCATCAAGGAAAGAACCTATAAGCTTGCTGGACAAAACTTCGTCGATATTGTCCGAGATGTGGGCAACATTAGCCCGGTCTACTTCGCAGCGCGTATGTTCAACCTGCCATTAAAGACGAAGGAAAATCCGAGAGGAATATACACCGAGCATGAATTATACATGGTCCTTGCTGTGATATTTATCAGCGTCTTCTTTGATACTGATCCCGTCAAGAAATTTCCATTGCGGCAAGCAGCGAAGGCGATCACTGGACAGTTAGGGAAGATTATCGAGGCCAACGTAAAGCAGGTAGGGGGCTTCGGCTTTGGTGGGCTGCTCTCTTCATGGCCGAAGAAGAATGACCCAGTGGCATCATACGGCGCCAACTTAATCAAAGGGTTCTCCAAGACTGGCCTGAGCAACTACGATATAGCATGGGGTCAAATTCTACCTACCGCAGGAGCATCCGTGCCAAACCTCGCAGAAGCGGTATTTTATATTACCCCCCCCCCCCCCCCCCCTTTTTTCCCCCCCCCCCCTCCACGTATCTATTCAGATCAGTAACTCACAGGCTTGAAGTTTGCTCAAGCTGTGGACTACTTCTTGTCTCCAGAAGGATCTAAGCACATCCCCGAACTGTATCGCACGGCGAATCTCCCATCATCGGTAGATACGGACGGGCTCATGCTAGGCTACGCATTAGAAGGTATTAGACTTGCGGGAGCATCCGGTTCCTACCGCGAAGTAGCCGTAGATGATATCATAGAGGAGAGCAACGGTCGCAGGGTATCTGTTAGAGCGGGAGACCGTATTTTTGTTAGCTTTGTAAGTGCTCAGGTGGATTCTCACAATGTCTACTATAAGTCATCTTTAATCTCCTCGACAACAACCCTACCTACAACAAAGCACGGACTAATTGATTTTCTTTAATTCGACAGGCGGATGCGGCGAAAGATGGTGAACATTTCCCGGATTCCGAGAAGGTGAACCCACGGCGACCATTAGACTCCTATATCCAATTTGGGTTGGGTCCGCAGGCTTGTCTCGGACCCGATGCTTGCCAGGCCAGTTTGGCTGAGATGTTTCGCTCCGTATTCAAGCTGAAGGGAATACGAAGAGCTCCCGGCCCTCAGGGTGAGCTGAAGAAGATTCCACAAGCCGGCGGGTTCTCTGAGTATATGAGGGAAGATAGGGGGGCATACTTCCCCTTCCCTTGTACGATGAAGATATGCTACGACAATTAGTGATGGATGTCTGCCTAGGTACTGTAGTCTGAGATCGTGGGGATTCGAATGGTTTCTATATATTTCTTATGTTTTAATTAAGAGCTGATTTTCGCTAAGTTCAGTCGACAATTCAAGAAGACCGTACATCTCAATGAATGGTTCCTAGTGGTTATCTTGGTTAATCAACATTGATCTTTTAACGAATTATAACGTTGAAGTATTATTCCATCAACTAAATTAAGCTGCGCGATTTAAACAGGTACCGGTACAGTACTACATAGTACCTAGGTAGGTACATGTAGGTAGGTAATTACCCATTTCGGAAATCCGAGTCGCGTGGCTTTTCTGACCTATCAGAGTAAGTCTAAATCATGAAACTTCTACATAGTAAAGTTCCCAACATTACCTACTAGGTACCTACCTAGGCATGTATGTAGGAGCTACTACTAGGTAGGTAGGTAAGAAATAATACGTAGATACATGTAGATGCAGATGCCCAAGTGCTTAGGTACATATATGTATCGTAGACGCCTAAAATATGAGAGGGTATACTTATGAATATATTTAATCTAACAGCGCTGAGACACCTATATACCTAAATACATCACGTAGCAGGGACAAGCTTCGAACTCGCATACTCCACAGATTCTATCCAATATAAAAATCAACTCAAATCTAACTAATGCATACATGACGTCGACCCACATTTGGGAGGCCACCCTCCCTTGTCATCCTTCAATTCTCCCCCAGAGTATTTCCTTAACTAATCCTCCGTACCCCAGAGCTGATTTTTATATCTGTCGAGACGAAAATCCGGTTTTCCCATTACCTACGGTCCTACCACTCGTAATCCCCTGAAGTAGACGATCCAGCACTAATCCAGGAGCTGATTTTCCAGAATCTAGGCTATCTACCCAGGTAGCCAGGTAACTTAACCAGAGCTTTACTGCATCCGGTGCGCGAATTTCCTGAACTTCTTGCAGTTCAAAGAACGGACACCATAATTTGTCTGTCAGTCGACTGGCATAGCCACATACCTAGTCGCCGTCTTCTCTAACCTCCTCACTCCTCGCGCCGCATAACGAAATGCTTGGTGTGGCCGCCAGCATGTGATATGGAGTATGCTGTATGGAGCTCACTAGAGCTTCGAGTGCGCACCATTATCCCACACTGTGGATATGTGTGACGGACACCAGCTGTCTAACAGTGCGGCGTCCTGTTTTTGAGAGTCTGTCCTGATGCCTTTACCATCAGATTTACACGACTTGATAGGTCCAATTCAGTAAACAATGCTATACAATATATAATTTTCTATTTAATCTGGTTCCCTACCTGCCCATCATGTTCATCTTGTCCTCCATCTTGACGAGATCTGATCCATTCTATCTTGCTTACCTATGCTTATGCTGATGCTTATGCTGAGCTATAATTCGATTCGCACACCCCTTTAAAGCTTACCCCTGAAAATGGACGACCCCGGGCTTAACAAGCATGGAATCAAATGGGATGATGAGGAGGCGGGAAGACCTCAGCGCGGGCTTCGTCGTACACATTCCAGCGGGTCGATGTCTATTCGCAGCGCCCGTTCACGACGTGAAGTTGATCCATCCATTGCTCTCCCTATTCAGTATCGGACTGTGTAAGAGATCGACTCCCTCCGGCGGTAGATCATCGTGAGCCTATTCTAACTCTTGACCTCTAGATCGTATCAGATCGAAGATACCATACAGAAAGATGTCACAGCGCAGTCAAGGGCGAAAGACGCGGCAACCAAGGGTCGATATACATAACCCCAATCTCCTCGTCATGCCCTTGCTCACATTCTTGCTACAGAGCTATCATCACTTGAATGGCATATAATATCAACTGACGAGGCTCTTCGTCGTCTCAGCGCATCGATGACGGAGGGTCTCTCGAACGAACAGGTTGCTCGCAGACAAAAAGAATATGGTCGGAATGCTCCATCTCCGCCAAAGTCCCATACCCTTCAGAAGTATTTCGGTTACTTCTTCAAAGGGTTCGGTCCTGTACTGCTGGTCGGGGCCATCCTCGTCTTTGTAGCATGGAAACCTCTTGGTGAACCCCCGGCTCTAGCTAACCTGGTAAGAAAACGCGAACAAGGAAAATTAAAAGCGAGCCTTGAATACAGCAGTTAAACTATACTAACGTTAATGCTCTGCAATAGGCTCTTGGGATTGTCTTAGTTGCCGTGTTCCTCATTCAGGCTGCGTTTAATATGTTTCAAGACTGGAGCTCGTCAAGAGTGATGAGTTCTATCAAGAACATGCTTCCAGAGGATTCTATGGTCATCCGAAATGGTGTACAGACCTCCCTTGAAGCCCAGGAGCTTGTCCCTGGAGACGTTGTATTTGTGAAGGCAGGAAACAAACTACCAGCCGACTTGCGTTTTCTCCAAGTTTCTAGTGATGCCAAGTTCGACAGGTCTATTCTTACTGGAGAGTCTCTGCCTCTCGCGGCGACTGTCGATTCCACCGACGAAAACTATCTCGAGACTCGTTGTATCGGCTTGCAAGGTACCCACTGCGTTTCCGGTTCCTGTATTGGTCTGGTCGTGGCGACAGGTGACCGTACAGTATTCGGTCGGATCGCTGCATTGACAAACGAGCCCAAAGCGAAAATGACCACTCTAGAAAAGGAAGTTCTATACTTTGTCGTCATCATTTGCTCCATTATGTTGGCTATGATTACCGTAGTTTTGGTCGTCTGGTTAGTGCAGTAGAGTACCTATATATCGAGGTACTCGTTACTAACAGGATATAAGGGGTGCTTGGCTAAAGAAAGCCCATCCAGGTTGGATCAACGTCCCGACTCTCATCGTTGACTGCGTCAGCGTGGCTATTGCTTTTATCCCAGAAGGTCTGCCCATCGCATTGACTGCTGGCTTGACGATTACGGCGAACTTGATGCGAAAACACAAGGTCTTGTGTAAATCATTGAAGACTGTCGAGACCCTGGGGTCTGTCTCAGTCATCTGTTCGGACAAGACAGGAACTCTTACCGAGGTAAGAAACAACTCGAAACTACCTACCATCCGTACCTCTTTGAACGCATACTGAGATCATGTAGAACCGAATGACGGTTACCGAATGTACCATCGGAACCCACACCATTACGGTCGACGGAGCTGAAGATGAGTTAGAGCTAAGCACTGCACCAGCCATCGCGGGGATGGTTACCACGGGCGTCGATCAAGTACGTGCTATCTCCGGGCTCTGCAATGCTGCAGAATTTGACGCCGCTACTATGGAATTACCCATCGAGAGACGCCGCGTTTTCGGCGATGCTACCGACCAGGCGGTGTTGAGGTTCTCTGAGCGATTTGGATCAGTACACCATCTACGTCAGTGCTGGCAGAAAACATACGAACTGGCCTTCAACAGCAAGAACAAATACATGATTAGGACGTTCTCAATGTTCAGGAAAGATTGTCTCAAAGCAACTTTATCGGAAAACGAGGCGAATGTCTTCCACACGGGTGATACGTAAGTTGTTTGAAGCCACCTGCATAGAGGGGTTTCCTATATTAACTCGTTGTAGTCTATTGACCATCAAGGGAGCCCCTGATGTTCTTATCAGTAGATGCTCCTCCTTTGTCAACAATGCCGGAGATGTACATCCATTCGACGATGAAATGCGAGCATCATTTGAGAACGTAAAGAATACGTACAGCAGCCAAGGAAAACGCTGTATTTTGCTTGCTCGCAAAGTCATCCGCCAAGACGAATTGCAGCATCAATCTGGAACAGGCCAATTTGAGGATGAGATCACCGAGCAAGCTAAGTCGGGCTTGACTTTAGTCGGTCTTGTGGCTATCGTCGATCCCCTCCGTCCAGAAATTCGCGAAGTGGTGTCAACGCTTCGTGGCGCTGGTATCAGGGTTTTCATGGTAAGTGATCCCCAAATCGGTGCTCGTGGAGTATATGCCTAGTGTTCGCTAACGATATCAAGGTAACCGGTGACTTTGCTCTTACTGCGCTTGCAATTGCCCAAGATGCCGGCATCGTCAGCTGCTCATCCTCTTCGGTCCACGACATATCCGCACTACACAGAGACCCAGCAGACGGTGACATTAAACTCACCGAATCCCGCTCATCAATCCTCATCAGTGGGCCAGAGTTACTCGGCCTCAACGAGTGCCAATGGAAGACTCTAACCCAGTACGAGGAGATTGTCTTCGCTCGGACAACACCAGAACAAAAGTTACGTATCGTGAAAGAGTTTCAAGCCGAAAGTGTTGTCGCCATGACCGGAGACGGTGTGAACGATGCGCCATCTCTCAAGGCTGCCGATGTTGGCATCGCCCTGGGAAGCGGCTCTGATATAGCTATTGAGGCAGCCGACATGGTTTTGCTTGAATCGTTCTCCTCGGTTGTAGAGGCAGTACAGTATGGCCGTGTGGTATTCGACAACTTGAAAAAGGTCATATGCTACCTATTACCCGCTGGAAGTTTCGCGGAATTTTGGCCGGTTATGACCAACGTCATCTTTGGGCTTCCTCAAGTCCTCTCATCCTTTCTCATGATTATCATCTGGTACGTAATATATGCTTTAATAGAGCAAAGAGGTGTTAAGTATATAAGAATATGCTAAATGTTCTCTAGCTGTTTTACCGACTGTGCTGCCGCGACAGTCCTCTCTTACGAGAAGCCCGAGGCCGACGTGCTATTGCGAAGGCCACGTAATGTTAAGAAGGACCGGCTCGTCGACTGGCAACTCGTCGGACATTCATACGGTGTCCTCGGCATGATCGAAACTCTAGCATCATTCGCCATGGCTTATTGGTATTTAGAAAAGAACGGCATACCTTTCAGGGTGCTCTGGTTCTCTTTCGGAAACCTTCCAGATTGGATCGACCCGGTCTATTATGCCGAGAAGCTCAATGAGGCATCTTCAATCTATTTTGTCAATCTCGTCGTCATGTAAGTCGAAAATACCATTATCACCTCTAAGATACCGACTGACTCTCGATAGGCAATGGTTCAACTTACTTGCTGTCCGCACACGTCGCTGGAGCATCTTCCAACATCCCCCGGCCTTAAATAAAGAAACTCAAAATTTATACCTTTTCCCGGCAATCGTCTTCGCATTGTCGATGGCTATCCTCTGGCTTTACATCCCGCAGCTACAGTCGGTTTTGGGAACTTCGCCTGTGCCAGTAGAACACTGGTTCTTACCTTTCGCTTTCGGCTTGTTCATTCTTCTATTCGACGAAGTGCGTAAGTTTCTAGTAAGGAAAAATCCCAACGGGTTGATCGCCAGGTTAGCTTGGTAAAATCCTTAGGTACAGATACACCAAGTCTGTAGCCATTATTCGCCTTTGTCCTTCCTTTATACGATACTTCAAGAAATGTCATTGTTGTCAATGTAGTCCCTGTTGATATTATTAAATCTATTATATCTGTACCTCGTACTAAATTGTATTTTTTTCAAGTACCCAACTACCTGGGTACTTCACCAACACCGCAACCCCTTTCTTTAATCTTGTGTAACCATCACCTACCTATCGAACTAAGCGTCTCAGGGGCAAACGCAATGCATTCGTACCGAACAGAGGTAGGTTACCTCGGTAATCATAGTTAAACATTCAAAACGCCTTCTCTATGCTTGTCTATATATATACGCTCACGCGTCCAAAGGACGTCAACGAGGATTTCATCTCTTCCAGATCCGAGAAACCGTCTCGAAGTAGATATCACCACATCTGTCACCATATCCGTCACCACGTCCGTCATCACATCCGCACCACCAATTTCTTCCCTTTTAAATTTCCTTTCTTTAGCATCTCCAAACCCCCCTCGACCGAGTGTAGTCCTCCTTCAATCAAGTGTAGCTCGGGCAAAACGATCTTGTCATTCTCCAAAAGTCTACCGAGCTCTTCGGTGTAGCGAACATTGGTCTTATCGAGAACAAATTGCTTCATCTCGACTGTATGCACCACGACATTTTCCGGGATTGCCTGGGAACTCGAGATCATAGCTAAGGGTGCGAAATGAACGGGCTCGTCTTTCGATACAGCACTTAACGACAATGCTGCTGTCTTTGGTCCCACCAAGTCAATTGCTCGTGTAATTCTGCCGGCCGTGATGGCCCGGATCTCATCCACCACCTGCTCGTCTGTCTTCCCATCTCTCACTACCGCGTGGCTTGCGCCTAAGCGTTCTGATAGCTCTCTCGTTTCTGTCGAGTTGACGGTTATCACTTTGATCCCGCTCAGACTCGCTATTTGCGTAGCGAATTGTCCCGTGACGGTTGAGCCACCCCAGATTAAAAGCCACTGTTCACCTATTCGATCTGTGGACGGTTGAGTCGGTACGTCGAGCCACTTCCACAGAGTCATCGATGCCGTCAAGGCTGCAACCCCTAAACATGCCGCTGCCTCAAAGGGTATGTTTGACGGGATGGGAAGAACGGTATGTGAGGGCACGACGACAAACTCCTGGAAGCAGCCGGCACGGACGTCCTTGTAGTATGTACTAGTCCACACCGAATCGCCCTCTCTGAAGGTTGTGACGGCAGAGCCAACTTGAGCTACTACCCCCGACATCTCTCGTCCAGTAACCTTGGAGGTGCTGTGAGTGTTTCAATTCGGCGTGCGTGGGAAAGAGGACATACCCAAGGGAACTCCGGCAAGCAGAAATTATAATCAACGGATTTCCAGTCTATGGGGTTTAAGCCCACGTAGTGACTTCGAATCATTACCTCGTCGTCTCCAACCTTTGGCATAGGGAAGTCATGACGGATCTCGTATTCTCCCTTACGAGCGACGACGAGCGCCTTTTGCATTCGAGGTATCGTAAATTCAGCAACCGAAACATTGGCAGATTCGTCTGTCGTCGTGGGAGTCAGATCTTTTCGTATACCCTGAAGCACAGTTGAATGTGATTTCTCGTTTGAATTTGACTTCGCGATTATCCTCCGCAACAGAGTGCGAACAGTCTTCCACGAGTTCCTGCCGGAAAGAGAATGCCTAGGTCGTGCATCCGCCATAGCAACCACAACAGTGTCTTTTTCTCTCCCAATTATACCGAACTCTCCCATTCCTGGCTGTCTTTTTGGTGTATCGACTTTGGCGGATATTGAAACAGGTTGTCTATTATTACCTATTATTTTATAAATCCCCGGTCAATGGATAATGGATAATGGTCAATGGTCAATGATGAAAGTATATTGTTAATCTATCTTGACCATTATTAATATACAGTAAAGCTTCTTTACTTGCTATAAATCATCGGGGACTACGGAATACTTGCTACTTAACTACGATCAATAGCAGCCCGGTGCGGACCAATGGTGGTGGTTCTGGTGTCGCACGCCATCAGCACGCCATCGACCAGGGTAGCGCGATTACATATAGGCATCGCGTATCATCCCGTCTGGTGGAGCGGATCTCCTTTCCGATTCGGCGCCGTCGGAGGAATATTACGATAATTGGTCAGCATTGAAGCTGGGTCAAAACTACGTACAGTATCATCATCGTTATCATTACTGATCTGAAGTTACCTCCGAATCCGGTCCCGTGGTAGCGGGTTGCATGTGCCCTCCCCCAGCAAGTTCAGGAGAGGAGGGGGCAGATCGATAGCAAGCAAAAATAATACAAGGAAATTGTACTTCATCCAATCAAGATTTTTTTATGTTGAAGACGAATAGGGACATACCTACTAGGTAGTTAGTATCTACCTAGTACCTACTACAGGTGATATATTTCTATACCAAGACCAAGACTTGTGAAATATGGGGAATATTCATGAATTACCGGTAACGAAACCCTTTATTTAATCTATATAATAAATATAACAACCTAGCTCCATTTAGACGATGATTATACAGAATTGGGGATCCTTTTCGTCCATTCATCTCCGTCAAACCTCTGTTATAGGTAGGTACCTACCTAGATTCACGACCTTCTCTCACTTCACATATCGTCAGTGTCAAGGTATACATATATGGGTACAAACAATCAACCAACACGAAGAAAACTACAAGATCGATATGAGAAGTTATGCTATCCATAGAGTTTTACTTTCATTATTATGGACTCTGACTCAGGCTTCGGTTTCCCCTGAATTCAATATTGGATGAACATAACTAACCCACAAGACGACATCATGCTTACAACAAGTAAAGCGACGCCAACTACCACATTCGACTTCCAATCAGACCAAATTCATGAGATAAACACCTCCCAAGGTGTTTTCCGAAGAAATTCCAAAGCCGATTACACGTACGAAACAGGTTGCTGTTGCTCAGGGGTCCAAGTAGTAATCCAGGCAACGGCAAATATCAGAATCCACATTCCGTACCAGGAGATGAGAAAACCAGTATTTCCCATGCCAGTGAAAAAGCCAACCAAGAATCCTACATGAATCAACGCAGACGCGAAGAGAAAAACGTCGAACTGCCAGCGTCCCTGTAGCTAACGTTTAGTATATCGTGCCACCTCCGACGATAGACACGACATGACACGACATGACATGACATTGAGTACTTACCACACTCGTTCCAAGCACCTTTCTAGTACCTTTGGCCTCCCCAATACTTGCCAGGCACCAGGCAATGAAGACAAATCCAATGGCGGCGAGGATACTACCAATAATTGTGCCGGCGATGGTATTGCTATAGGCCCAATATATGACGCCCAGGACGGAGAGGGCAGTGCGTACACCAAGTGTCGTGATCATACATGCTCGACGTGCCAGAAGTACTCTATCTGATGTCGCTAGGCTGTACGCTTCCCAATTGAAGCTCCAACAACCGCGAGAGCCTGGGCAATTTCGGTCCCTCCACGTCCTCTGCTCGGGACGAGGGGGCAGTTCCTGAGGAAACGCTTGGGAGTCCGCTGCCATTCTTTAATGGGTTATGAATTTTTTTTTCCGTCTAGTGCAGTCGCTTTCGAAGAAATGGTAACTTGCGCTTGGAAATATTTGGGTCTTGAGTGGCAAACTTAGTGGTAGAAATACATTGGAGATGTATAAAGGGGGATGTTAAGATGTACATGATAAGAAAAATTAAAAGTTCTAAAGCTTGAAATTATACATAAAGGAGGATGAGCAGACGCCTAGGTACCTGTAGCTAAGGTTATGAGAAGGATCAGGTTAGGGGGGCACAGCCTCAACTTTTAGCTGAATATCAGCCCCCAACTCATTTAAGACCTAGCACTCCTTCAACCGTCTTACAGCAGCACATCTATGGCTACGATCATATTCTAGGCATCGACGTGTTGCCATGAACCTAGACTCCTTGTACGGGACAGAAAGCTCACGTCACCGGCAGAGAATATATGCCAACATGTATCTTATAAAACAAATTGGACTCTGGTTGATTTGCTTCCTTTTTTTTCTCTCTTTTTTTTCTCTTTTTTTTCTCCCTTTCATAAATCTCTTAAGCTTCACAAGTCTCATAACCCCCCCTCCCAGCAGCCCTACTTATTAATAGATACAATGGGACAAGGTCGGTAAGGTCAATAACAGGGATCGAATGCGGCTCCTTTCCGAACGGTCTCTTAGCATCCTTCTCTACCTACTATATTGTTGTTTCTTGCGTAGGATTGTGGCCTTTTGAAGGCAACGTTAAGGCACATGGATTAGTTTGATGTGGGATGCCGATCCTTCTGTAACCCAGTTGAGAAGTTCCCAGCAAAGTCCAGCATCGGTAACGAATTCATCGTCCCAAGATGAGATATGTGATTAGCTAACCATAAGAGGCTGACTGATAGGTTCATTATTGTTAATATATGAAAAGGGCCACTTATGCCCTCATAGGTAAGTATATTTAGGATCCATATGTTAAATATCATGACTTTCATCGTCAATGTACCATCCGGTATTATAGAATTAATTTGATGTTCTACGGTTCAAGGACGCGCATAATGGTGGTAGCCTTGGTTGTTAAAGTTGTTGTCCTTAGTCCTACGTTGACTAAGACGTCTGCTCTACTGCCGGTATCCAAACTTTTTTTTTTTAAAAAAAAGAAGATAGCGGCAGGATTTAGAAGACGAGCCACCATATGAGAGCTATGGTCCCCGTTGCGAGTATAACCGATAACAAGTGGAGATGACTCGCGATAGCTGCTCAGAAAGACTCCTCCCACCAGCGTTTTAGAGGAGTGATATCCTCAATAAGCATATGGTCCGTGTATAAACAGCCGCCGACAAATGAGCGATGACCTCCATGCTAATTCCGAAGGGGCACGGAGTAAGGTCTCGATTATTGTGGTCTACTAAAACTCTTTCCGTTCAGGGTATTCCTCGATCAAATCAGCCGTAACACCATGCCATGCCATGCCATGCCACGTATCAAGGTAGGTAGTTAAACGAAGCCACCGCTAACCTGTTTGCGCCCCTGTGCTTCCCGTACTTCCCATATTTCCCGCACTACCCGTACTTCCTGTGCTTCCTGTGCTAGATGGTCTCGGTGGCGGTACCGGCATGATTCCAGGCACCCCTCCATCTCTGTCCATGGCTACTCCGCCGATCATACTCGCTGATAGAGCGTGAGGTTCGCTTCCCTCTCCCTCGGAATCCTCGCTCTGACTGCTCGTGCTCCCAACGCCAGCAAGGGCCTGTTCCGCAACCTTACGCTCGACCTCTTTTAGCCTCTCCTTCTCGACAGGGTCTACGAGGTCATCGTCGTCGCTCCAGTATCCGTCTTCGGTCTCGGCAACCTCGGGCATGGCCATGCGCTTCCAGAAACGAATCTCCTGTCTCTTGGCCTTATCCTCGACACGCCTCTCCCATCGTTCCTCGTTCTCGTCGTATTTCTTGCGGAATTCTCGCAGCATCTGATTAGCGTGGCCGGCATGTTCCTGCATCTCCCAGATCTGCTCACGCAGCCGGGAATTCTCGGCGCGGGCCTCGGCTAGTTGTGCTCGATAAGAACGGTGCCAGGCGGAGACATCGGCGACATGTTTTTGTTTATAAGAGTGAAATTGAGAGAGGATGGTGGAGAGAACTCGGGCGTAGTTGGTAAGAAGGGAGAAGTTGGCATCGCGAGAGAGCTTAGCACGGTCGAGGGATTCTGTTAAGATGGATACGAGAGCTTCGAGATTCGGTTCTTGTGCTGCGCCGGCATGATCAATGTCAGTATCGAAGAAGCGGGAGAACAGGTAGACGGTAGATAAGAATAGGACATAGAAAATAGGAAATAGGAAATGGAAAATAGAACGAACATACCAAATATTTCGTCGGCAGCTTCTCCGAGCACCTGGTCGTTGGTCAGGCCACGCTCTCGCGCTCGATTGCGCACCCTTCCGAGCCCAGAGACAATATCTTCCGTAACACGTCTATTCTCGGCCAGTTGTCGCGACAGCTCCTCGACCATGCCATAGATGATGTTTAACTCGGCCTGGTGGCCGGCTGGCGTAGGTCCAATTGGCATGGCACCAGCGCCTGGTCCTGATCCATTACCTTGCATAGCGCCAGATCTGTCGGTTAGGTAAGCCTAGTGCTGTTGGGATAGCTGTCGTGGTTGCGCTTATGCGAGTGTGCGTGCAATTTCAGTTGGAGTTGGAGTTGGAGTTGGAGTTCTCAGGGCTGTTTGAATATGCAAGTTGATACAGTTGTTGAAGTTGTCAAAGTTGAATCGGCTGCTGCTGCTAGGTATTGTGATGTGCAATGTGCATACATAAGTAGGTACCTAGGTATGTATAGTCTGATGGGTTGCACGACACCAAACCTTATCGATTACGCTAACGCTACCCGTGCTGCCTGTGTAACAGCCGTGACATGCAGGTACGAGGGGTATGTACTGTACTTATATAGGTATACATATACACGTCCATTTTTATGTCACCTTATGTACATCAGACATTGTGCATGTTAAACATAATATGCATCTCACTCTTCTAAACATTTCATCATTGATACAACTTAAAACAAAACTTCATAAGAAAATGAGGTTTAGTTACTCCCTTTTTTTTTCTTTGTAAAAAATTTAAACAGGTGGGTTTGTAAAAATGAAATGAGTGAGCTAATCCTTCTACCCGTGGGCATTCACCATCTCACCGGTACTACTAGCACCAATGCTCTCAGCACCGCTCTCAACATCGTGCAGGTTCGCAACCGATCCTCCTTCCTCTGCCTTGATCTTCAGGTCTATCTGATCGAGGGGAATAAGAAGCACGCTACGCTTGACTACCATATATCCTAACCAGAAGATGAAGACAACAATGATACCTAGCAAGCTTGCGAGGATATGTGGCGGTTTCGGAAGCGGGCTACGTATCGCCGCTACGATTTGTGCAACGAGACCGAACGCGAAGATAAATATTGCCATGGCGCTTCCCACTATTCCAGGAGGGGACTTCCATCTCAATATGTCGTCTTCCTGCAATCCTCTCCTACGTATAGCGAGCCGGAGTCGGATGTGGCAAACGCAGATAGAAATCCAGGTGAAGTAGTTAGATCCAGCCGCCAGTGCCAATAGCCAGTCGAAAACCTTATCACCGTTCCTGGCCATCTTAACGAGCGAAAGGAAGGAGATGAAAAGAGCTACTACCAATGCCCAGATTGGGTGACCCCATTTAATCTTTGCCAAGATCGCGGGTCCCATTCCCCGAGCAGAAATAGCTTGAAGGGCCCTTGATGAAGCAAAGACGCTTGCGTTCGCCATCGAAAACACGGCCACGATGATGATGCCGTTGAGGACGCCTGCAAGTACCGGTAATCTGGCTTGGTCCAGCGCAGCAACGAATGGGCTGATTCCGCCTGATTGGGTGTGTTCGTTTAAGGGGATCTCAAGCACCAGGCCGAGCATGAAGATTGGTAACAAGTACAACCACACGATCCGCACCGGCACGATTGTGCATGCGAGACGCATCACTTTCTGGGGTCTTTCGCATTCCGCCGCGGTTATCCCAAGCATTTCCGTCCCACCATACGCCATACCTGCAGCCATAAAAACATACAGAAACCCGCCGGGGCCGTTTTTGAATGCGTCATGCTTCCACAGATTAAACCCCAGCTCTTCGGCCGGCCGGGTGTCTGCCGGTATAGCTTTGCTAACGATGAGTATGGCAACAATGATGAAGGTCGAGAGAACGGCCATCTTGCAGACGGCAAAGACATTCTCCGCCTCCGCATACCATTTCGCTCCGAATGCGTTGACGAGGATCAGCCCACCAATAAACGGGAGCAGGAAGCAGTACGCCGGCGTGGTCGTATCCCAATATCTCACACAGAGTAGCATTACTACTAGCTCGAAAACGACGATGAAGAGAAAATTGATCACGTAGTTCCATCCCATCGCGAAACCCCAAGCCGGCGATATGAAGCGAACAGAGTATTCGTAAAAAGAGCCATTAACCGGGAACGCAACCGAGAGTTCGCCTAGGGCACACATCGTGATCCACACGGCGAATCCGAGAATAATAAAGGATATGAGAAGTGATCCAGGACCGCCCACCGCTAGGCTAGAGTAAGTTGCTAGCAAGACGCCAGCGCCGATCGAACTACTAAGAGCCATCAAGACGAACTGGCGCGTCGTAATAACCTTATGCAGCGACCCATCGGCCGCAACGGCCGAGCTACTAGAATCCATAACGTGAAACTTGTCGAGCAATGAGAAGCCGGTGCACCTTATTCGTCGGATAGGTTTGTCTGAGGTACTAGGTAGGATGATCAACACCTGACCCCTAACTAGCCAGATGCGAGATTTACTTCGGAGGTTGTCGAGAGTCGTTTGGCTTATAGATATACTATAAGGATAGTTATACTATAAGGACAGTTATACTATAAGGATAGGTTAAGTATTATATTCGCGTTGCCGGAAGTTAGGAGGGGATGAGGAAGGGATGTCGATCGGAATACTCGACATATATAGCCCTTTTACCAAGGCATCTCCGACATCAGAAACGACGAATATCTAAGGTATCTACCTATCTATAGAAGATAGCTATCCGGGGAATAGAATTAAAATATTCAAACCTTAGATAATAACTTACCTGCCGAAGACGGAGTACGTTCCATCTAGGGCGACCTGATAGCATGTGTTTATCATGTCATGTTCCTAAGCGCAAAAGCTAGAGGCAGCCACAAAGTTTACATACCTAGTAACTACCCAAAACATTATCTTTCGAGGAGAAGGAGGTCGGATATCTATGGTGTTTAGATAGTACTGTAGGAAGTATAAACTTCGAGATCTTCCAAAGCTTAGGTACCTAGTAGATATCTCAATAGGCACCTAAGTATGTAGACAACAATTGATGGACCGCGCGGCACCTGGAGAGTAAGTCGAATTTTCTATTCTTAATATATCGCCTTCGACGGAAGTCCCGGGAAACATCATATTATGAGCTCTTAGCTTCTTAACCCAAGGCTGTCTGATCTGGGATGTGCTACGTAGAATAACATTTGTCAATACAAGGAGACAACTATTGTAAGCGACTCACACCCAAACCCACATGCATACATATCGACATCAACGTTATCGTCAAACCCAACGCCCAATCTTAGGTTCCCACATTCCACCGTCCGTTTCTCTCGGGGCAAGTGACCATCCCTACACCGAATTTGACTCATCATTCACCTTTAAACTAGGCCGCCACCGCAGTTCGACGCTGAGGCGGTGCGCCTCTCCGCGTGCTAGATGCACCGGGTCTCGCCAGCGTGTACTTGGCAAATGCGCGCGCAAGCGCCTTCTTGCAGCTCACCTTCTGGCTGCCGATGAAGCTATCAACGGTGACAGCGATGGCCCGATCGATGTCATGGGCGGAACAGTACTCCGACAGCCTCATCCGACAGAAAGCTTCGGATATTCGAATAATGGCTTCCAAGTGACGGACCTAGCAGACAAGTTAGCACTAATATATACATATATATATGGGATAAATAGATAAATAGGGTTGGCCTACGGTGATTGGATAAGCGCCGGTAGCTAGCGATTCCCGTCGCATATCGGCGAATAGTCGCGCTACCTTATCTTCATCCATATGTAAGAGTTTCGGTTGGCAGTGTTCTCGTGCATAAAGGATGTATTTGCGTAGTAACTCCTGAGAGAGCTCGCCCTCCTTGCTTGGCTGTGCCTGTACTTCCGGAGTCGCCTCGGCATCCTGTTCAACCTCCATAGACCCATCAGCAGGCTGAGTAGACGGGTGACTGCGGCTATGAGAACCAACGATGAACCGGGCTAAGCGCTCGTCTTCGGAGGGGTCTACGGTATCCCGAACGACGCAAAGAATGTCAAATCGGGACAAGATGGGCTCGGTTAATTCGACATTAGACGAGAACGGTATGGTAGAGTTGTAACGGCCTCCGATCGGGTTAGCTGCCGCGATGATACCACATCGAGCCTGCAGAGTGGTGACGATACCAGCCTTTGATATAGAGATCGTTTGCTGTTCCATAGCTTCATGTATAGAAGTTCGATCCTGATCGTTCATCTTGTCAAATTCGTCGATGAGACACGTGCCTTTGTCAGCGAGCACCAGGGCACCTCCCTCCAGCGTCCACTCGCTAGTCAGGGGGTCTCGACGGACACTAGCCGTAAGACCAACGGCGGAAGCTCCTTGACCAGTAGCGAAAACAGCTCGGTGCGCAGTTTTCTCAACGTACTTGAGTACCTGGGACTTGGCCGTACCCGGATCACCGAGCAGTAATACATTGATATCTCCTCGTACGTGATGCTCGCCCCTGGTCGTCTTCGCGACGCCGCCGAAGAGAGACAAGGCGACGGCAGTCTTGATATCGGTGTGTCCGTAGATACTAGGTGCTATCGAGTTGATTATTTTATCGACAACCTGGGCATCGCGGGAAAGTTTACGAATCTCATGCTCGTCTTCTTCGGTCAACCGGAATCCGGCAAGCTGATCGTGAGCCTTAATAACATTGTTTGCCTCCAAGATGGTAGCAAAGACGGGGAACCCGTTACGATTGTTCAGCTGAGCATCGTAGTTGTTTCTGTAGATACCGGTGACTTCGATCTCCTCGCCAGGCTTCGCTTTGTCAATTAGATCCCAGAGCAGGATAACCTCTCGATGTCTAGGTAGACGACCGGCAGGTACGGTTCCAGGTGATTCCTGGAGCGTTAATTTCTGGTAGTTCCGGTAGACTGTCTTCTCCGAGTTCAAGGTGAAGGGTCCGCGAGATTGACAGTTTTGACAGAACGAGATCTTGACTTCCACGTTGGATTCCTGCTGGAAAGGACCCAGGGTAACACCGCATTTGGTGCAATCAAATTTCACATACTTCAGTTGGGGGAAGACACCTGTTCGCCGGGTAACGACACCGCTCACTCGGACCAGACAGTTAAGGTGCGACTGTCTCAGCTGGCGAAGAGTGTAATGAACGGGAAGATCAAAAATACGAACGTGAATGTCGGGGTGGATGCGCTCGTAGTCGGGGTAATGGAGAAGGACAACTTCCATGGCCACGTCGTCGAAGAGCTTCAGCATTTCGGCGGGTGCGTTCGCAAGGAAGTAGGCAAGAATAGCCTTAGACGAAGACAAATGGTCGTAAGACACCTCGAGAGACTCGGCGTTAATCTCACCGAGAGTTCGGATACGGTTACCATAGACGGAAGAACCGCTCTCATCGGTATACTCTGTTAAGAAGGCCTTGAATTCTCGCTTGATGGTACGTTGTACGGATGGTTGAGAGACCCATTCGGTCAAACTTGCAGCCTTTACGTCTTGTAGAGCTTCGAGTGAGAGCTCTTCGTCCATGATATCCTGGTCCATCTCATCGTCTGGGTCTTCGTCATAATGATGACGACGACGACGGGGTTGGGCAGTGAGGTCAACGTCGCCATCATCATCTTCGTCTTGAAGGAAGGCTTGAGGCATTCGCCGTCTACGTGCTACTTCTCGGTCTCGGCGGTTGAGTTGGGCTTCTAATCGTCTCCTTTCGCCGAGGTTCATATCATCAAAATCTCCTTCATCATCGATATCTATTCCTTCGTAGACATCGTTGTCATCCTTCTCTCTGTAATCTCGTTCGAAACCTTCGCGGAAAAGATCCACGTCGTCTTCGGCCATCTCATCGAGATCTTCCAAATCGTCTTGAACCTCAGCTTCTTCCTCAATGTCGTCATCGTCGTCGCCTCCATGGGCAATATTGAAGGCAGGGGGAGACGAAGGCATAGGGCTAGAGGCGGCAACGGAAGAGGATGCATCGGCTCCTCCGGTGCGTGAGCGTTTGCGACTCGAAGGAGGGGCGGCACCACGATTGGCAGAATCCATATTCATGCGCAGAGGAGAACTTCAGGAGATCTGTTAGAAACAATAGAAATAATAGAAATGATCAGAGTCTATTCTGTAGGCTCAGGATGAACTTACCTCATCTTGAAATATTTCCTCTTTTTTATTTTTATTTTATTCTTCTTGCTCTTAAGGAATGATTATTTGGTAAAAGAGTCAAAAGAGATAGTGGGACATAATTAAATGAGGACGAAACCTGGAAGGAGGACCCATGTGCGTGTGGCACTGTGGGTACGCGAAACCAATTAAACAAATTAGCAGTAGCAACCCCAGGTCTCCCCCAGCCCTTTAACGCGTCTGCGCGTCTCTGCGCGTTGGTTTCGCGTAAAGTGGCACTAGACCTTTCGGGGGTATTAACAATTGAATATGGGGCAGGAAGTACCTACCTAGGTATTCATAGGTTGTACAATTACGAGGTACTTCTAGTTTCGTAAATACATACTAGGTACATGATAAAGTGCGAATTGGCGTTTTGAGAAGATATCCACTGTGACATCATACTAGGTATCATTCTATCTGATCGCGCCGCGCTCCTATCATATGAATTATTCCCATTCTGAAGATTTTCAACTCTTAAGTGCGACATCATTTTGACAAGCAACCTCACCTTAAATCATCAATTCTGACCTGTGACATCCTCTTCTTTGTTTGTTTGTTCATTTGTTTGTTCATCTCATTCATTGCAAGACGATGGATACGCCAACAGTCCCAAACACTTCCCATGAGGCCACCGATGCTGGCATCGCGTCGCGACCTCGAACTCAGAGCTTGTCGCAACAGTCCGACAACTCCCAGACCGCCGCTGACTTTATTAGAGATCAGCTACAGCTTGAAGCCGATGCCCGCGAAGCCCTTCCATACGTACGTCTCCTCTGTATTGGTACTTGACAACGTGCTGACTAGCGGTTGATTAGAGCATTGAAAACTGTACCAAGCCACTTGGATCCTTGCGACAAAATGTTTTTGCATGTTTAACCTGTAATCCACCTCCCGCAAATCCTTCCGATTCTTACAATCCCGCTGGCGTATGTTATTCATGTTCAGTTCAATGTCATGGAGAACACGAATTAGTCGAGATTTTCCAGAAACGCGACTTCACCTGCGACTGTGGAACGACTCGATTCAGTCCCGAACAGAAATGCAGTCTTCGAATAAACTCGGAAACCAACACGAAAGGTGGCGTGCACTCTGAGCGACCTGACCCCAATAATAAGTACAACCAAAACTTCCGCAACCGATTCTGTTCATGTTCTATCGATTACAAGCCGCATGAACAGAAGGGTACCATGTTCCAGTGCCTAGGTCTCGGTACACACGAAACTGGCGGCTGCGGTGAAGATTGGTATCATCCTGGTTGCCTCGTCGGTCTGGGCCCTAAATGGTACGAGAAGAAGATAGAGCACATCTCAAATAAAAATGTCAACGGCAACAGCACGTTACCCACTATATCCGAGGATACGACGTTACAAGGTAGCACGAATCAACAAGTCGACGGTATTCAAGGGGGCGAGGAGGAACATGCCGTTGATGATGATGATGATGATGCACCTCTACCAGAAGGGTTTCCTACCGAGGACGCGTTCGATCATTTCCTCTGCTATAAATGTGTCGAGGCCCATCCGTGGATTAAGAGATACGCTGGCACACCTGGATTTTTACCCGCAGTATTTCTCCAAAAAGAGGAAGATGCGACGGCGCCTAAGAAACGTAAGTTGGAAGACGACGGGTCAAGTGAGAGTAGTGAACGTAGTAAGCGCATTAAGAGTGAGCCCGAGGCAACTGCTGACGCAGAGGCCGAGGTGAAGGCTGTTCCACCCATCCCTGAATCAAAGGACACCACCCCTCAAGTTAAGGAAGACGAGAAGAAAAAGGAAATAATATCTGCCGATGGGTGCAAACTAGCTTCGCTACCCCTGGCACCAATAGGCAAATTCTCATTATTTGCTACTTCGGACTTTCGCGACCGCTTCTGTCGATGCGCCTCGTGTTTCTCGGATCTCAACTGCCACCCACAGCTCCTGGAAGAGGAAGAAGCATACGAGCCTCCTCTTTCGGATTCTGGATCCGAGGGCGGCTCGACCCATGGCAGCGGCTCGTTGTATGACCGCGGCGAATCTGCCTTGAGAAATGTGGATCGTGTGCGTGCGATAGAGGGTGTGATGGCATACAATCATCTTAAAGAACGTCTCAAGCCCTTCTTCCAACAATTCGCCGAGAGTGGGAAAGCTATCGGTGCAGAGGACATCAAGGAGTACTTTGCAAAGCTCAGGGGTGATGAGCAAGCTATCAAAGACGCCGGCGAAGCTGCGAGAGACGACCACAGACAGGAGCAGAGCGGTTACTGAATAACCTAACCTGCCTGGGTAGGTAAGATAGCACGGTATTTGTCTGGAAGAGCAACGATGATATTCCAGGGGTATTCACCGGTATTTATAATTCTATTCAAATAGACATTCGTTGAAGATTAAGGGACAACTAATATCATAGGTCTCCTATTTGGTAATAATCGAATGCGTTCACATGACTGTCGCCCTTCTCTTGATATTTATAAGTGCCAAGATATGATAAGTATCATGATCGTCTTATGATCTATCTCCCTCCCTAATCGTAGATTCTTTTTATATTTACGCGAACTCCCCCTTCTTCTTTTTTCTTCTTCCTTTACTCATGGTTATTTGACATCGTTATCATAGTTCACCTCCAAACAGATTTACTCTAGCTAATCTCCCTGGCAATTTCAAAGGCCCCATACTTTTGCAATAATAGCTCTCGAGACATGATCAGTTGCCTCCGAAGCAAGCTGCGCTGCAAGTTGGGCCAAGATGAGTGCTTGGCTACCAAGGTATACTGGCGTCTTTAATCTCTGGGCCTCTTCAACAGCCTCCTGCAACTGTTGCACAAGTTCCTTAAAACCCTCACCGTCGCCTATCGACAATGGTTGTCCGCGGCAGAGCTTAATGATTTCAGGCCCAACCGTCTGAAACATCGTGCTTCCTCCGGCTGCATTTATGCAGAGGTCAAACACCTGGTCCAAATCTAAGTTGCATCTACTTGCAAAGGCGATAGTTTCCGCAGCAGAGCAGAGGTAAATCCCTTTCAATAATGCCACGACAAGCTTCAACTTCGACTCGTCGCTTTCAGCCACTCCCTTGACCGGTCCTACCTTTCCTTTTCCTTCCGTGTACAGTCTAATCAGACTACTATCGTCATCGGGACCATACCCACGGCCAAGGCCGGAAAAGTAAACTTGCTCCGCAGTACTCGTCATAGGAGTTGAAAATCCAGAGCGCCTCGCTTCAGAGGTGATGATGCCCGTATCCTTCAGGATGATAGTCAAAGCGCTAGCAACAGGCTTAAACTCGGGGTCGAGCATTCTCGGGAGCCTGTTTTCGAACATCCACGCCCACGCATCGGACCTTAGGATCTCCTGGCTTGCGGAGTGAGGATCGAGACCTAGTTGAGTGGCGAAGCCCAGCCCTTCACTCGCGGCAAGGATCTGGTTGGCCGCGAGTACCTGGTGACACATTTTCATGTTGCTTCCAGCACCGACGCCCCCATTGACAATGTATAGCTTTTTCGGATCGGACATCACCTGCAGTAGAAAGCGGCCTTTCTCGATAGCATCGTCTGAGCCCCCTGCCATGATGGATAATGTACCGTCGGCCGCTCTCGCAGCGCCTCCCGAGACCGGAGAGTCGATCAATCTAATATCGCCCCGTCCCAGCTCGGAGAGTTGCCGCTCCAGATTTTGTACGTACGCACATGGCACAGTCGAACAGAGCAAAAGCACAGCTCCTTTCGGTAATGCCGAGAGCGCCGGATTCTCGCCGTCGATGAGCACGGCCTGGGCCTGCTGAGCTGTCGCCACCATGCATACACAATAGTTGTTGTCTTTCACAGCTTCTACTGGCGTGTTTGCAATATTGCCGCCGGCCGCCCGGAACTTCTCTAGTGTCGGTTTCCAAACATCAAAACCAGTAACTTTATATCCACGCTTGACCAAGTTTGTGGCCATGCCGAAGCCCATAGCCCCTAAGCCGATGAATGAGATATTCGGCTTTGTTTCCGCCATCTTGATAGGAAGCAAGTCAGATCTAAGTGTGCCGCTTTAGAAAGACAACCAGTATCAGGAGTTCTGTCAGGACGCTCAAGTTAGGTTTCCCTCCCCCCTATAATGATTATTATTTTATTTTCCTCAGACGTAGCATCTTCCAACCAACCGGTAAGTCAAGAAAAGAAAACCGACCAAGTAACCACCCTTACTATTCGTAAAGGGTTAAGTCCACCCCCAGTGACCATATGTCCACTTTGCCGGGTATGGAGGCGGGGAATTCACTTCAGGCATTTTACTTAGTTATGTATGCCTCGGACTACTTCGTATACATTAGTACCTAGTACGCTAATAGTATGTTAAGACCTACATATGTAGTAGCATCTTACATAGTCGATGGGACCGAGATCGCTCGGTTGATAGTAGTACCGATCTACCTCTCCATCCTATGGATCATTCAATGTTGTCCTCGGTAAAATAGTTGATGGCAAAGCTAAAAGGAGCTACCCCACGTTCTTCTCCACTATTAGTATAAACGATTCCTCCATCGTGCCTCCTCTATCGTTGTGTGTAAAGATGTAAACGGGTAAAGTATGACCGTTAGTTCTCCTTGCCCCCCTTCCCCCTTTTTTTTGTCTACCATCCGCCTTCCTTCGTCGGGATATGGGTAGCTACATAAAGGTATTAGGTACTTAGGTACATCATGTACGTATTGAGGGAAAGTCCATGTTGTATTTGAATATAACTTCAATCTTCGTTTTAACTCATTCACTTACAACTTACTTACCTACCTACTTATCTACTTACTTATCTATTTACCTATTTACCTATCTATTCAACACGTTACGTTGTCATACGATAGTTGGATTTTAAGGCACTTATGAAAACGACTATACAACGACTGTTCGCGATACCAATATGTCCCGACCAGACCTATCCAAGAATCGTTCAATGGCGATTCTAAACAATGCGCGCGATGGCGGGTATGCTGTACCAGGCATGTGTTGCTACAATATTGAATCGATAATCGCCACGGTTCGCGCAGCAGAGGCGGCCAAGTCTCCGGCAATGGTCCTGCTCTTCCCTTGGGCCATAGAGTATGCCGGTGCATCTCTCGTACGTGCCGCTGCCGATGCTGCACACACAGCCAAAGTCCCGGTCAGTTTACATCTAGACCATGCCCAGACGCCGGAACTTGTTCGTCGCGCCGCCGATATTGAAGGCGCATTTGATAGCATCATGTGCGATATGAGCCACTACGAAAAAGAGGAAAACTTGGCACTCACTCGTGAGCTGGTCGCATACTGCCATGACCGGGGAATCGCAACAGAGGCCGAGCCAGGGAGGATCGAAGGTGGTGAAGATGGCGTAGCTGAAACCGCTGACTTAGAAGCTATCCTCACCACCCCGGAACAAGCCGAGGAATTTGTAGCGACCGGTATTGAGATGCTAGCGCCCGCCTTTGGGAACGTGCATGGAGAATATGGACCGCGGGGCATTCGCTTAGAATATGATCGTTTACAATCGATCAATAAGGCGGTCGGCGATAAAGTGCGTCTCGTCTTACACGGCGCCGACCCCTTCACCCAAGAAATTTTCAATAATTGCATAGAAGCCGGCGTTTCCAAAGTCAACATTAACAAGGGTATGAACAAACATTACGCCGCCGTGCAGGAAGAGATGCGTGGAAAGCCTCTCACGAGCGTCATCGAAGCGGGTACGGACAGGATGCAGGCTGCCATAGAGCAGTATATGCATTGGCTCGGCAGCGCCGGTAAGGCGTAAGTACCTACCTAGGAGGTAAGTAAGGGATGGATGTTGTGGGATGTCTCGGAATGTCTCTCGTTTAAATAAGCCAGTCTTACTGTGCTATCTTAAAAGGGATAGGAGGGAGTATGGGTAGTCCGGTCATAAATACCTAGAAGCCGAGAAGCTGACGAACGAAAATATTCATCGCCATTTAAATTAATTTATGCAAACGCCTCTTAAGCTTAAGTTTAAGACGCCCACTAGCTATTTATTCATACCGATGACTACCTACCGATATATCCATACCACAATTTACATATAATATCTACTACCAACGCAAATAATCACATACCCAACTGCAAGCCTTTTATGGCCACCATGGCGCCCCAGGCACCGGGGTCAGGAGGTAAACTCTTACTGCTATCAGCACCAATGTAAGTAGCTCTACCAAGTCTCGGCTTCAACGTCCTTGTCAGTTCGGCCCCCTTGATTGCCGCCTCGAGACCGTCCGCAAATACGCCCGAACGAAGACCCTCCGCGAACGGGATTAGTGTATCCATCACAGTCCTGTCACCAACTTTGGCCGGCGTATATCTTGTTAAATTGTCCAACGCTGCTTGGACTGCCTTAGCCCATAACTTAGGAAGTCCCTCGCTCTCGGCAATGGCTGTATTCTCTTCCAAGGCGTTGCGCATCGAGACGAAGAAGATGCCCAGTATGCCACCTAACGTGCCTCCCATCTTGCCTTCGACGATCTCTTCAAGCTCTTGGAGAACGGCAATTACGGAACCTTGAGCGGCAATCTTCTTTGAGTCTAACGCGGCGAGGAGACAGTTGGCACCCGTTTTAAGTGTCTCGCCACAATCTCCGTCGCCCATTATCGTATCCCACTTGGTTAAGTCTGGCTCCGCGACAATCAGCTGGTCGCAAGCTCCACGCAGCATTTTGTCCAAGACAGTTGGATCGATTTTAAGATCTTTAGACTCCTCTATCACCTTCTGAGGCTCTTGCGGTGGCTTTACAAACTGGTCCTGTCGAGGGCGCCGTACGGATTGAGAGCCCGTGAGAGATTCCCAGCATGTGTTAGTCCTGGCGTCAAAGAACGATTTGATTTCTTCGACCGAATATGAGCAGTTGGCAGCCGCAGCGGTCACATTGACGATTGATACCGAAAATGCTGGCGCGTTGAGGGATGTCTCCAGGAAACCGTTACTTATGCGCACCGGCTCGAGTTTCCACTGTTTCGCGAGCTGCTCGAGGAGTTCGTCCGCCAATGCGCCCATTTCAAGGTGTGACACTCCCCCAAAGTTGCTAATGAGGAGTATGGCCTCATCGCCGGCATTAAATTTCACATAACCCCTTTCGGAGTCCGTCTCATCTAGGAGGTAAGTCAATAACTGCTTAACAAGGTCCTGTGCCGACGGCGCAGGCGACAGCTTCTTGTAACCAGGTTCATTGTGAGGACCAGTTCCAATTTCCACTTCGTCGCTCCCTAACGTAGCATGCTCTGTACGGCCTGGAACATGACAGTGGTCGAGTGTGGCCGCAATCGAGACTATTTGTTGTGAGAATGAGACGCCGAGGTCGTACACCTGATCAAGAGAGCCGCCGGCGCCTGCAGCACCTCCTAAGATCTTAAGAACCCCGAGCTCTCCAGCTAGGCCGCGCCGGCCGACCAGGCTGCCTTTTCTCCCGACGGACACGTCGTCTCCACAGATGATCATCCTACATTTGTGGCCCTTCGCAATGGCCTTCTCGTTCGCCAACCCAAAGTGCAGACAGTCACCGGTATAGTTGGTGACAACTAGGATAGTTCCTTTCTCAGAAGGTACTCTATCGATAGCAGAGACTATCTGCTTTGTGCTCGGAGAAGCGAATATGTCTCCGGCTACTGAAGCAGCAAGCAGGTTTTGACCGACATATCCAGACCAGGCAGGTTCATGGCCGGAACCTCCTCCACTAATTATCGACACGTTGGACTTGTCATGGGCTGTATCGAATACCACTCGGTTGGCCTCGTCCAGGCTAAGCAACGGATTGTAAGCGATGATGCCCCTAATCGCTTTGGTGACGAGTCCATCCGAAGACTGGAAGAGGTGGCGTTTCGACATGTCCGAGGCTTCGGGATGCTATGACGCTGGATTGGGGAGGTTTGAAAGGAACTAGAGGAGGGGGGCTCTGTAGCACGATGTCTATAGTAGAACTTTTGGAGAAAGGCTTAGGCCTTCTATCACGGAGAACAAAGGTAGGTTTATCATAAGGGGATCCTAGATAGCTTTTGGTTCTATTACGTGAAAGATCAAGTTTACGGGAACTAAGGGGTTGCCGTAAGAGGTAACCACATACAGTTGATCCCAGGAGCGTATCTCTTCAGTTCACGAGACTCACATTGATATACCGGTAAGGTCGGTGTATACGCTCTATGGCCGAAATTACTTGGCACCAAGGCTCATGAGCTCGTAAATGACCATTATATTTAGGCTTCCAGGCCTTTTCCCCACGGTGCTATTGAAGTTTAGCGGTATAATTGACAGAGCCATGGTCCGCATGATTACCGAATGAGGGGTGAAAGGTATTTTACGAATAGCGATGCCGGGAGAAGAATGCGAACCATAGGGGTAAATTCAGACATTTACCATCGGATTGCCTAATCCGGTAACCCGCGAGGATATAACATAGGAGTATATCCTCCTCCCCCACTTCTGACAAACAAACGAACTTGCTAGCTTAAGATCGGAAGGGGAGTAGGTACTGTATCTTCAGCCCAATGTACCAGCAATAAGAACCGGAGGTGTCGAATAATCGGTTCTGATAGACCCCCTTTCACTCCTTGAGGATTGCCGAGTTGCTAAAGTCTGAAACTACGCCACATGAGAAGAGTCAAGAGTATAGCCGCCACTCTCATTTTCCCATCACAACCCTCCCCACTACCTAGATTCAGTCATTCAGTCAGTCAGCCAGCCATACAATGGCCGAGACCAGGTGGAAAATAGCCCTAGGCTCCGATGTAAGTTAACCAGGTCTTCCTCTGGTCAATAATTTTGGTCCCCGCGTACTCTTTGTTAATTTTATCTTACTGATAATACTAACCATGGCCCTCGGACAGGACGCTGGGGTGAATTACAAAGCCAAAATCAAAGAGGATTTCGAAAAAGATCCCCGAGTCGAGTCCGTAGTAGATGTCGGTAGTCTCTCGACAGATGACAAAACGGCATATCCACACCGAGCGGCAGCGGCAGCACAGTTAGTAGCCGACGGCAAAGTCGACAGAGCGCTGCTCATCTGTGGAACCGGACTAGGAGTCGCCATATCGGCTAATAAAATTAAAGGTGTCCGAGCAGTCACAGCTCACGATAGCTTCTCGGTAGAGCGGGCGGTCATGAGTAACAATGCCCAAGTCCTCTGTATGGGTGAAAGGGTGATAGGCTTGGAACTCGCACGCAGACTAGCCAAGGAATGGCTCGGCTATGTTTTCGATGAAAAGAGCGCAAGCGCGGCTAAGGTAGAGGCCATATCTCACCTCGAAAAGACATTGTAGGCCAGAATAGTATGCTGGGTTGGAGGTTGGAGGTCAGATGTTAGATATCAGATATCGGACGTCTACATGAAAAAGAATGAAAGGTGAAGATTGAAGTTAAAAAAGTTGGAAGATTTAGGTACCTAGTACTAGTACCTAGTAGGTACATATGTAACCTTAGAGTATTGGCAGACACGTAGTAGCGCCTGCTTATACGGATCACCTTCAAGAAATAAGAAAGCAGCTGCAACTGTTGTCTACTTGGTGACACTACCTAATAGGTGCTAGGTAGGTGGGTATTGTATGTACCTACCAACACCCACCTACCTAGTAGGTATGTAGTAGCTATAGCTGTAAAAACGAACCTTAACGATCCCGAATTACACATAGATATAGATAAATATCTTCAATATTCCCATATTCCTTTAATAGGTATATTCAATTTTTATTTTTATTTTTATCTTTATCTTTATCTTTATCTACCTTTTTAGGGGATTACTTCACTTCTTTTTCTAATCACTTAACATCCATATTAATATCTCACTAACCCCCTACTTCCCAAACAGGCTTCCCGATTCACCTCCGCTTTAGCCATGACTTCACATCCTTCGCCCCCTCGACGTCGCATCGTCGGTGTCTCCACCAAGATGTACTTCTCCGCAGCGCGGACCAGACAATACGTCCACGAGCTGCTGCAAATCATTTCTTCATCGCCGACACCACCTGGTCTCCTAGACCAACTTGACGTCTTCGTCATCCCGGACCACGTCACACTGATGTCGGTCGTGTCGCAGCTAGAAGGTACCAATATCCTCACTGGCGCCCAGGATGCCTTTTACGAGGACACAGGTGCCTACACGGGTGAGGTCTCGCCGGCTGTCCTCGCCGAGGTTGGTTGCCGTATTGTCGAGCTTGGCCATGCCGAACGCAGGCGCATCTTCGGGGAGACCGATCTCGATGCAGCGCGGAAGGCTGCCGCGGCTGCTCGGTACGGTATGATCCCGCTAGTCTGCATCGGCGAGCGAGCGAGGGAAGGTGAGGGAACGGCGGCAGCCACTACAGCAGCCATCGACGAGTGTAAGCTTCAAGTCGAAGCCGTTCTAGAAAGCCTACCCGACGACGCCGAGATTGTCCTAGCTTACGAGCCCGTCTGGGCCATAGGCGCTGCCGAGCCCGCTGGCGCCCAGCACGTAGTCGCAGTCACCCGCGAGATCAGGGCGCTTGAGTGTGTGCGGCGGCGGCGGGGAACTACGAGAATCATGTACGGCGGCAGCGCTGGCCCCGGACTATTCGAGAAGCTCAAAGACGGCGTCGACGGATTATTCCTGGGGAGATTTGCACATGACCCGGCCCAGTTCTACAGAACGATCTTGGAAATTGCTGCTACTTGATAGGAATAGGACAAGACTACACCAATAATTTTGCTCCATAAGAGGCTGTCATGAGAGTTGAGCCTATTGACAGGTAGATATCTAACGTATTTGAATGATTATGCTCGTGCTAATAATATAAGTTGCTTGTAACCTTCAATTCTATACGGCTTTTCTTTATCTCTATATATGGCCTCGAATCTGATGGGTGCTAAGGGGGGGAAGAGGTGTGAAGAAAGGGGGGGAGAGGAGAAAATAGACTGGTGGGTATCGCGTGCTAGGCCAATTAGCGACTATCAAACAGTAAATGACCCATGGTATCTTGTATCATGTCATGAGACGAGGTGGGATATATTCCGGCGCCGTGAAATGTACAAAGGAAAGCTGGGAACATGGTGTCGTCCCCTTAACGAGTCCATCTCCGCCTGCCCATTTTGCAGACCCGAGACATCGGTAATCGTTCTTCTAACTAGGTAGTGCCCACCGGCAACACACAGTAAGTTACCAAGACTGTCTGCTCTCTAGGCGACGATAAAATAAATATTGCCCATAGCTTCTAGCAAGGCTTTTTACCATCACGAAACTCCGAAAAGTGACCTATCCATCGTCGTTTACTCGTCCCACATTCAACCGTGAATTTCACACCACGACTCACCTTGGGCGAGGGGACTGCGGTGATAATCATCGTTCAGCTTATCCTTAATTAAGCACCCATTCGCTACCTCTCTTGACGAATTTATCTAGTAGCATTGCTAAGTCGGCTAACACAAAGCGGCAAATATAAAAGCCAAAAAATTCGGCCGCGTGCCTGGTGCATAGCTCGAGCCCAACCTGGGTTTTATCGGCGTGGCGCAGGCCAGGGTCATCGACTTGACGGGCGATTTGATCTGATTGAAATTAGGGGGGGAAATTCGCACCGGGAGGCCATCTAGGACACTTACCGACCGTCTGCGCAGCATCGAATAATCGCGCAAGGCTCGCCATGTAGTTCCCATACGGCCCATCAAAGTTGACCGATGTGATATCCCTCTTTGCGGGTTTGCTGCTCGGGTGGGCGCTCATAGGTAGACTTGGAATAGAACTCACTGAGCCAATGATATCCCTCTCGTTCACGCCGGGGCCGCCGCTTCCGCCGCTATTGCTCTTTGCCCCGTATGCGCTGGTCATGTTGGCTGCGGAGCCCTTGTTTCTGAGCCTTCGCCAACTGAATGTGCCTCCTTTTCCACTGACACTAGCACTTCGTGGTACTGGCGGCGCAGCCTCTGCGTCTCTCTCATCTCGAAAGGAAGTCATACCTTGAGTGCCAACCTCATGGCCAAGTTTCCGCGAGAGAGTTGCTTGGACCATCTCTAGGATATTCTCAAAGCTCTGCATTTCCTCAAGAACTGCGTCTGCATCATTACTATCCACCCTTGCTAGCTTGAGAAGAGCTGCAGTTAACAGATCGCACTGCGATATCTTATCTTCGAGGGCACGTAGTTTTACGCCCTTGACTTTCCAGGCATCACGGGGAATGAAAAGCCGGTTACTGATATACCCTCCACGTGGATGAGCAAGGGTCTGGTAAAGAGCACGCATCAGCCAGAAAGGCCGAAGCATGACGTCGGACGGACACGGTTCGAGGGGTATTGGAACATCGGGGCTGTGATGAAGATGGTGGTGATGGTAGAGCTGGTTTGGAGAATTGGTAGTGGGGGAATGAAAATCAGAGTCGAAGAGGTGCAAACCACCAATACCGCCAGTCATCCTCTCATGGAAAGCAGCGGCAAGGGGTGTAGGTAGCGCGGGAATCGTAGGCTGGCGAGACATCGAAGTGTTCGAAATTTGGTGGCTAAGAGGAGTGTTGGGTGAAAGGTCAGAATCATCAAGGTGTGAGACAGAAAACTGGCGGGTTTTGAGAGACTTCAGACTTGAAGACGAGAAATTCTTGCGTATGCCAGGTCGCGAAGAAGTTGGCGAGTCAGTCCGGAGCTCATCGGATTCCTGGGCTCCCGCCTGGATGGTTGGTGGACTTGAAGGAGCTAGAACATCTGCTGGACTAATGCCTCTAGCAGGTGACGACGGCGCGCGCATGGAAAATGGTCCAGGTCGTGTTGATGTCGCTGACAGTGCTTGTCTTTGCTGAGCAATATAACCACCGGGGGTCTTTGTTTGCAGTGCGGACGTGACGATCGACGGCGCGAGTACATTTGGTGGCTGACCGAGCTTGGAGGTCTCGATCTTGAGCTGCTTAGGATTTTGACCGGAGAGGCGACGGTTGCGCACTCCCGATGTGGGGGAAACTTGCTGGGATGGTGGCGAAGGCAGGGACGGCGGTGATGTCTTGGGAGGGAATCCTGGTGGTAGCATTTCAGTGACCGTCGATAATACCGTCGTGGCGGTTGGGGGATTTGAGCCAAACGAACTGTGCCAAGTCCGCGAGGTTATGCCGCTTGAGTCGGACTCTCTAGGAATTTTGGTTTGCGATTGTTGGGACCGCTGGTTGAAGGCGAAGTCTTCCATCACGGATCTCCTACTCATTTCGTCCAAGATACGCTCCTCCTCCTCATCTGAATCATTGGCATCGAAGAAATCACCACCAAACATTTGGGGTTTCTGGTCTATCGACAACTGCCTTTGGCGTTCTCGTTCCCTTTCCCGAGCCAATTCTATTGCGGCCTCACGCTCGGTTTGACGGACCCTTTCCTTGGCAAGCTCTACTTTGCGCATTGCGTTGACTACAACATCGTCGCTTCTGTCAAGGTTGTTGTCATCGTCATAGGCCGTTTCGTAAGAGTCCATAGGTTCATAGCCATCGTCGTATGCCGCTTCAACCGCGGCATCCAAGGCGGCATCGAACTCGGCCTCTGTATTGCCGCTAGTATGGCGAATGTGTTTCCTCCTAACTCCAATCGAAGAGTTCCTCGAATGTACCGACGATGAAGCCGAACCACCAGACTCGTCGATTGGATCCAGCCATGATGCCGATTCGTGGCTGAGATTGCGCCTATGGGTCTTCGCACCGTTTTCTACAGCCAACCGCTCAGATGGCCAAGAGAAATCCTGTCGCACAACCGGTTCGGGAGGAGTAGGCGGTTTCGCCGGAGAGAGAGGTCGTCGGGGTGATAATGGAGCAGGCACAAAGCCCGCATCCTGTGGACGGGGCAAACTGAGAGAAGGGCCTTCAAAATTTCGGCGCATCTGCGGCTTCGAGAAGGACGATTGGAGTAACCGCTGGTCCTGTACAAGGTTTGGCGAGTCTCTATCTGATTTTCCAGCTGCCGTTGCTTCCGCGGTTCCTTCGCCGCTAGCCAATTCGATCTGAGCTCCATGATATTCATCTACACCCTCCGGTCTCGCAGGAAGAGCTTTATCGGTTTGCGCGTATGCAGGCACCAACCCATCCAACTCGTCTATTCGACTTGTGTATGTGAGTCGCTATAAGAAAATGCGTTAGATCCGTGGATATGGCTATCCACCTGGTGCTACTGATTAACTTACAATTGCTTCCAACTTTCTTCTATCCTCCTCCCCACTTGTCCTCGCGAGGACTTGTTGCAATAGATCGCAGGCCTCTGAGTAAGATTCCCTAGCAGCAACGTAATTCTGAGCATTATCCAACTGAACCGCAGCGTTTGCTTTTGCTAGAGCTTTAGACAGCATAGCTTTCTGCGACGGTTTACTAGCGCGATCTCTTGTCCGAGTTGACTCGGCACTACCTCTCGCCGCAGAAGAGCGGCCCCTTACATTACGATTCCTATCCGACATAGTGTCGCGGATGACGAAGGCTGGCGGGAGTAGCGCGGGATTTCCTCTAGCAGCTGTATTCAGATGGTCGAGGTCATCCCAGAAGTGATCTAGAGGCTCGGCGGTATTGGCGCGACTCATCAAACGCGAAGGCGAGCCTGAAGGAATAGCAGACTCGGGATCTGTGTCGAGAGGGGGGAGGGATATTATAGGGGGGAGATTCGGTGGCGTGGCTGAAGAGACTGGTGGGGGCGGTGATAACGGCCGGCGATTTCTCGGTGAAGCACTCGTATCGTTAGAAGGTCGTCGCTTTGTTAGCTTCCGTGGAGGAGATTGTAGTTCCTGGCGTTTTTCTTGCCGTTGCTCTTGTTGTTGTTGTTGTTGGTGGTGGTGATGATGATGATGGGGACGAGGATCAAGATAATCGCGAATAGAATCAGAAGACAGACTAGAAGCAGTGGATGCAGACCAACGATTGAGATTTCGGAAGCCGTCGCTAGCGGCGCCAGCGCTACTAGACCGTGAATGGCGGCGCGAGTGGAGTCTTGGCGAAGTAGTTAATGGGTTGTCAAGAGCATTGATAGATGAAATTATTTTTGTGTTGGCGTTGCGAGGCGGCGGGAAAAGCGACGACGTTCTTGGCGGAGGAAGATTGGGAGAAATGGGGTTTTGATAAGTAAGGGGATAGTGAGAACCCAGATTGGAATTTGGACCTGGACCTGGACCTGGACCTAGACCTGGACTTGGACTTGGATTCGGGTTTGGATTTGGATTTAGATTTAGATTTGAATTTTGATGGGGCTTGTCTCCAGCTGGTGGATAGATATTCGGATGGAAATGGGGATGAGATTGGCTTTGACTAGCGGCGCTTTGAGTTAACGCGGTCGCAGTCGCGGTCGTACCTGCCTGAGCCGTCGATTCGATTTTTGGACCGTATCCAGCCAGCCGGACACTATTAAAAGAAGTACCACTTTCACTACTTGTAACAATCGAAATATTTATTCCATTCAACTTCCCATTTTCTTTTTCATTCCTAGCTCCGCCAATACCGCTACCAACATCACCATAAGTCCCCTTCAACCCGTGATTGTAATGGAAATTATTGCTGCTGAAATTACTTTTTATAGTGTTCGACGTGGGCGTTGATATATTACTCGGTGTATTGTACGAATTCGATAATGTCGGTAGCGACAAATGTAGTAGCTGCTGCTGCTGCTGCTGTTGAAGTTGAAGTTGTTGTTGCAGTAATTGTTGTCTTTGGCGTTGATAATGTTGTGATGGAGCAGAAAGTAATGGTGGTGACGGCGATTGGAGTCGTGATGTTGCGGTTGGTATTGACGGCTGGGGTGGCATCATGCTTCCATACCGATACCCTCCTCCACTAACTGGGTAGTAGCAAGAACTACAAGAACCACAGAACAGCGGAAACAGGCGTCTTGTGCTATGACTCTCGCCAAAAGGAGGTATCGCTCTGATGATCCCGTAGTAAAATAGGTAACGTGCGGGTATGGATGTACTGTATGAAGTAATATAACGTGAATAGGGTCAATACAACAAAACGCTTTACGATCCAACTCTTTTAAGACAACCCTCCAGAGTCCTTCTTTTGAATATCGTCAATTAAGAGCGCATGAAGCATCTCTACAAAATCTATATGATTGAATGAATTAAAAATGCTCTTAAATCTGTTCAGCACCTGTTTCAACGTGAAAAAAAACAGGAACCTGTTACTCCTTTTTTTTTCTTGTTTGAATTGATGCTCCTTTCGCGGCTAATCAGATTCTTTTAACAAGCACATGTACATTTGTACATTCTGAGCTAGCGCAGCTTAGCTTCAGGGGCTCCAAGTACATGGGTAAGAATATGGACCAATCAAGGCTTTTAATAGGCTTGCCATCCTTGTAATATTTCAACGTAATACTAGGTACATAATTAGTATATATTATTATTAGGTACATAAGATGTCTTGCGGGCACCTTCAAACCAGTAGATCTCAAAATTAGATCGTCTCGTTAATAATTCAAGTACTTATACCTAGGTAGTATAGGTGTAGGTGCTTCAGAGCGCTTCCACGGTTTACTTGGTACTAGGTACATAGGGTATGTTAAACCTTTGGAATTACTAAGGCTATGTACGGTGCCTATAAAATATAATAATACCAATACTTAGGTAAGTACTTGGATACATATCTAAAGCCAAGAACTTTAAGGTTTCAAACACAATTTGTTTCAAGCTTCGTAATCCTCCAAGTATAATCTTCATATACACTTACGAATCCGAATCCTCAAGGGAAATGCATCACAATAACGTCGAATTTCTTCCTCTCGCCGTTTTTCAACTTCTTTAATATGCATTGTAAACCACTTTAGACGATACCTAGTAAAGCGAATGCTTATGCTGTTGGTATGAGAAGAGTTTCTTGGTTCATTGAAAATATCACAATAAGGATCAATTATGTATAACTTCTCAGGAGGCATTGCACGGGAACGACGACGTTAAACCGCAGAAGAGAAACTATGAGTATGTTGTCGAAATATATTAACCTAGCTACTCAGCATGTAGCAGTAAATTCATCGGAGGAGGCAATAGGGAGCTTTCTGAGTGCGGAGGAAGCGATTCGAAGTCTAGCAATTCATCTACCTCTACTTATGAATTATCTGCATAATCGTAAGAATGCCCTAACCGCAAAATATCCGTCGCGTAGACCGCGGTAATTCACGTCGATCTACAGAGATAATATCATCTTTGCGACCGATCTTGCGAGTCCCTAACGTCTCTTCCCCTAACTTCTCGACTAGGACCCCTTTTTGTATATTTTTTTTTTTACTATTTTTTATATACAACACGGTCGCGCATTGGACTACCGAGTCTAGCGAAGTCTGTAATCAGCTGTGTAGACAGCCTACTCAAAGACGGCACAATCTCAATAATAACGTAAGATTGCTGATGGCGTGTTCCTCTTGCAATATAACAGCTTCCGTTGCCCCTTCAGTTAGCGAAAACGGCTCAAGAGGACCACGTACAGTATTCTCGAACTGGGTTTTTCGCGAGGATACTAATGTCGAAAATTGAATATCGTCGGGATTCGACACGACGCTGTACTGCATACGAACGTCGTCAGTTGGAACTAACCCAGCCGTCTTGCGCATCTTCTGCACACGTGTCATAACATCACGTGCAATTCCATCGTCGATAAGTTCTGGATGCGATGCCGTGTCTAAGAGGACGATCATGTCGTCTGAGAAGGCCGGCTCGTACTGAACACCTTCGTCCTTAACTATGTCCGGATTATCCTTGGCTACAACTCGCACGATGCTAAGATCGCTACCCTCAAGCTCGATCCCCTGAATTGTTATTTTCTTATCTTTCAAGTACTGTCTGAGTTGCTCTTGTGTGAGACTCGGTAGAGCCTTGCGGACGACTTGAGCATCGCGCTTCAACTTCTTGCCCAAAATCGGCCAATCTACTCGGGCCTCGAGGTGAATGCCATATCGTTCCTCGTCATTCGTCAGGACTATGTCCCTAATGTTAAGTTCCTCTTTGACGTATATCTGCAGCTCTTCAATGTCGCTAAGCTGCTGTGCGTCGGCAATAACTACTAGAGTGAGCAGCGGCGTCTTTAGTGGAATTGTCTTGCGCTCTCTCGCTGTTCTCGCGAGTTGAATCACCTTCTGCATTGCAGATACTTTTCTTTGGATTACCTCGTCGAAGAGGGACTCTTGTGCGGTCGGGAACGGAAGGAAATGCACGCTCTTCGTATTCGGGAACCCTGACAGTGCATCGCCGAGATATGGCTGTAGAAGACGATAGATATGCTCCGTTATGAATGGGGTGAAGGGTGCCAAAGCTCGTACAAGCGTGAATAGTACTTGGCAGAGCGTATCCAGAGCTGCCTTAGTATCGTCAACTTCGAGACCAGCAGCACCCTTAAGCCTCTTGCGATTGAAACGGATGTACCAGTTCGTTAGATTATCAATAACCTGAAGTAGACGAGGCACGACGGTGTATAGACGGTAACCTATTAAGTTAGCTAAAGATAAAGACGGGATGGGCAGTAGACTCACCGGCCATCTCTTGGTCGATGAACTGGAGCATGCTCTGGCAGTCAGCAAGAATCCACCGATCCATGACGTTTGTCGTCTTCGGGAACTGAGCAACGAAATCATCTCCGGTTGTCTTCTTAAATAGGATTGTCTGCTCGAAGAAAAAGCGATAGCTATTCCACAAGGGCAAAAGCACCTTGGCAATGATCTCCTTAACTCCCGACTCCTTAAAGCGTAAGGGTTCCCCACGGACAACAGGAGAGTTGATGAGATAAAGTCGCAATGCGTCAGACCCATACTGGTCGATAACATTTTTAGGGTCTGGGTAGTTCTTCAGACTTTTCGACATCTTCTTGCCATCTTCCGCCAAGACCAGGCCATTGACGATAACCGCCTTGAATGGAGAGACGCCAAAAAGCTTGTTTCCTAAAACACTCAGTGTGTAAAACCAACCACCTAAATCCAGTTAGCGACAATTATACATTAGACTTGCGTCTAGATTAAGAGGATATGGGGTGCGAGGGTGATGCTTACGGGTTTGGTCAAGTCCCTCGGCGATGAAATCAGCGGGGAAATTTCCGCCTTCGAACCCTTTCGAGTTTTCGAAGGGATAATGGTTAGACGCATATGGCATGCTTCCAGACTCAAACCAGCAATCGAAGACTTCGTCAACGCGGCGAAGCTGGCCCTTTCCTTTCTTGGAAGGGATCGTGATCCCGTCAATCTTGTCTCTGTGAATATCATCTATGGTGCCCGTATATCCGCTCAGCTCTTTAAGCTCGGCAATGCTCCCCACGCAGACAACTTCTTCGTAGTCATCGCTAACCCACAGTGGTAGCGGAGTGCCCCAGTATCGATTCCGGGCAATATTCCAGTCGTGTGCATTGGCGATCCAGTTTGCAAACCGCTTCTCCTTTACAAACGAGGGAACCCATGTAGTCGATTCAAGGTTGGAGAGCATGTCCGGTATAGAGTTGGTAACACGGATAAACCACGAGGATACAGCCTTCCTGATGAGCTGTGTATCAGACCGCCAGCAAAACTTGTCCACGTGAGATACTTGCGTAGCGAGCAGGAGACGACCTGTTTCTTTAAGATCCTTTACGATCGCCTTGTCCGCGGATTTAACATGTTGCCCGGCGTAATCAGTCACCTCGGCCGTGAAAAGACCTTTATCATCTACCGGACACGGGGGCAAGCGCTTTGGATGTATGAAACCGGCGGCGACCGCTGCATCGTAATCCTCCTGACCGAAGGCGGGAGCTTGATGTACGAGACCAGTGCCTTCGTCTGCTTCAACATAATCGGCGCCTATGACCTGGAAGCAGTCGGCAAACTGATCGGCGAAATAACGAAACAAAGGCTCGTACTTCCACCCGATCATCTCCTTTCCCTCAAGCTTTCCCAAAATCTTATATTTTGCCTTCTTCTTGTCCTTGTAGAGCATAGAAAGGCCACTCTCCAGGAGTATATATTGCTTCCCCGAAGCCTCATCTAGAATCTCGACGTACTCGAACTCCGGGTGGACAGCAATGAGAAGGTTTGAAGGCAAGGTCCACGGTGTGGTAGTGTAGATTATCAAGGAAGAATCTCTGCCTATGACGGGGAATGCTACTAAAAGAGCTGGATCTTGAGTCGTCTTCTCGTTTTGCTTAGATTCCATATGGCTTAAGGGAGTGCAGAGGGCGGTCGAAAAAGGCATAATCTGATAGGCGCGGTATACCTGATCCTTGTCGAAAAGCTGCTTGAAAACCCACCAGCAAGATTCCATGAACTTGACATCCATAGATTTGTAGTCTTCACGTCAAACTATTAATTAATGCTATGCAATATTAAACCAATGCAAGGAACGATTATCGGTCTCACCATTGTCAAAATCTATCCATCGACCTAGACGCTCGATTGTCTGTCTCCACTCGGCCGCATATCTCATGACAATTGCGCGGCATTCAGCATTGTATTTCTCGATACCCATCTTCAAGACAGCATCACGACCGGAGACACCCAGTGTCTTATCGATCTCATATTCAATGGGTAGGCCATGCGTATCCCAGCCGAATCGCCTGACGACATGATAGCCCTTCATGGACCAGTATCGAGGGATGATGTCTTTGATTGTGGAGGTAAGGAGATGACCATAATGAGGGAGACCGGTTGCGAAAGGGGGGCCATCGTAGAAAGTGAAGCGCTCACAGTCTTCGGTAAGTTTGAGTTGGGTTTGGAAGGCATCAACCTCGCGCCAAAATCGCACGATCTCTTCCTCTTCCTGTGGAAAGTTGATACTCATCTTAACGAACTGTAGTAGCCGCCAAAGATAAGAAATATCAGAGTAAACCTTGAACTTGACCAGTTCGATGGGTTAAGAATCGGAGACTAGAAAAATAGTACCCCGCCAAAAATGCGAATGAGTCAAAGTAAAAACGGCTTAGTTAAGATTTTTAAGCGCGGGGTAATGTTCGAACATCGAAATGCCCAAGCTTTATCTCAGGTGGCCTTAGCTTCCGTACGTTATAAAAGTGCCCGGAGCTCCAAGGGTTATTATGTCACAACGAAATTTATTTCAAGTGGCTTAAAACTAATACGCAACGGGCAATATGAATCGTTTAACCACTGCCCCGTAAACCCACATATTATTACGAAGCTTTTTTAATGAAAACTTTTCACTTAATTTAATTATTATAAATTTAATAAATGATCGTTATTATTTTACGCGTTTTAACGCGTTTTAACGTATTTAATATTTAAAATAATAATTTTAAAAAAAATTAATATTAAATTTATAATATATTTTAATTAAAATAATATTATTTACGTTATATATTTTACGTTAATTATTACGTTATATAAAGCCGGAAAAACGCCGGCGAAATATATATATATTATTTTATATAAATTAAATAAACGTTTATATATTTTAATTTTTTTAATTTAAATATTTAATTTATTATTTTATAATAAAAATAAATTTAAAAATTAATTAATTAATATTATTTAATTAATTTTTTAAAACGTTTTCGATTAAAATAAATTAAAAAATCGCGATTAAAATTAAAATAAATTAAAATTAATTTAAATTAATTAAAATAAATATTTTTTTAATTTTAAATTTTATAATTAAATTTAAATTTAAAAATTTATAAATTAAATAATAAAAAATAATATAAAATTTTTAAATTAAATTAAATTTAAAAAATTTAAATATTAAATTAATATAATTAAAAACATTTAAATTAATTAAATATAAAATAATATTTTAATATAATTTAAAACGTATTTAAATTAATGTTAAAAATTTTTTAATATAACGCGCGAATTAACGAAAATTATATAACGTAAATAATAATATTTTTTAATTATATTTATAATATTAATTATATTATAACGAAAACGTATTTTTAAACGATATTAATTTTATTATATAAAATTTTATATAAATTAAAATATTTTTAAAAAATTCGTTTAAATATTAAATTAAAACGTGGTAATTTTACGTTATAAAAATATAAGTTATAAATCGTGAAATTTTTAAATACGTTTTCGTAAATTTTAAAAATAAAACATTATTATAATAAATTATTAATTATAAATAAACATTAATGTAAAAAATATATATAATAATATAAATATTAAAAAAAATGGTAAAATTTAAAATGAAAAATTTTAACGAACTTTTATAAAAAGTTTATTAATAAATGATTAATTAATATAATAACGTGAAATTTATATTAAAAAAATAAAACATTATATTACGATTTAATTTTTTTTAAATTTTATATTAATTATTTTTAATAAATAAAATTAATATAAAAAATATCTTAAATAATTAAATAAATAAATTAAAATATATTTCGAAAAAGTTTTTTTTATAAGTATAAATTTTTTTAATTAATAATATATTTTTTTAAATTAAGTTTTATAAAATTTTTATAATATATTTTATAATGTTTTTTTATTAAATGTTTTTATATAATAATAAGTTTCGGTTTATAATAATTAATTTTTTTTTAAGTTAAATATTTTTTAATCGTAAATGTTTTAAATTTTCCAATTTATAAGAAAACTTAATTAAAAACGTAATTCGATAATTTTTTAATTATTATTTAATTATATATACGGCGTGGAATTTTTTTTTTTATATTTTATTTTATCGATTAAAAAGTTCGAATAATATTTATAATTAAAATTAATTAAATTAAAAAAGTTTCGTTTTAATAATAATAATAATTTAAAAATTAACGGGTTAAAATATTCGATTTTAAGTTTTTTTATAAAAAGTTATATTAAGGATGAAAATTAAAATGTTTTTTTTATAGTTTTTTTTTTATAAATCGTATTATTTTTTTTTAAAATATTTCGTTTTTAATTATATATAATTAATATTTTAAATATATTAAATATTAAATTTATTTTTTTTAATATATAATTTTAAATAATTTTTTTTTAAATAATTTTAAAATTATAAAAATTTACGAAATAATAAAATCATTATAAATTTAACTTAATATTTATAATTTTATGTATTTTTTTATTTAATTTCGTTTATTTAAATAAGTTAAATAATATTTTAAAAATATATATTTTTAAGATCGAATTTTTTTTAAACGTTCGTTAATTAATTAAAAGTAATGTTATTTACGTTATATGGTTTTTATTAATTACCGCATTATATTTCGTTTAAGTTTAACTTTATTTACGCGTTTCGTTAATAATATACGCGATATTTTTAATTTTTAAAAAGTATATTTTTATACGTTAATTAATTTATATTTACTTTTTTAAATTTATATGTATATAAATTTATATATGTTTAAATAAAAATTATTTTATAATTATTTTTTTTTATTTAAAAAATGTTTATATTTTATAATATTTTTTTTCGTTATAAACTTTTTTTTTTATAACTTTATTTTTTATTTTTATTTATTTAATAAAGTATATATTATTATTTTTAAATTTACATGTTTATTTTAAATTTATTTAAGGGAGGATTTTGAAAAGGCTTTCTTTCATTAAATATGGAACTTTTATATAAATTATTATAATAACATGTTAAAAATTATAATTACGGTATTTATCGCGCGAACGAAGGTAATTATAAATATAACACGATACGATATTTTATTATTTATTATATTAGGGATAAAGTAAGGTTTTTTTAAGCATTAAGCTTTTAAAAAGTTTATTATAATAAAAAATTCGAATGTATTTAAAGGAGATTTATATTTTATATAAATTATAATAACGGTTAAGTTTTTCGTTTATATATAATTAATAATAAACATTACGATTATTCCGTTAATTTTATATTTTATAGCGATTTTATTTATTAAAGATTTACGTAAAAATATAAACGTTATATTAAAGGTTTATATAAAACCGGTATTCGAATTATATAAATTTTAAAATTATTAAAAGTAATTTTTCTTAATATAATAGTAATAAAAAAAGATATTAATAATTACGTAATTTACTTTCGTAAAAAATTATTTAACGGTTTTTTTTTTATTTAAACGTTCGTAAAAAAACTTGTTTAAAACGAAAATTTTAATATTTTTTAAAGTAAAATTAAATTGAAATAAAATGGCTTAAATTATTTATAACGTGCTTTTTAAGCGTATAACGAAAGTAAGGGTTTTATGAAATTTTTTTTCTATATTATATTTTTCGATTATATTTATAAAATTAATAAATATTAAATGTTTTTTTTAAATATTATTAATATTATAAATAAAAATATTACTTTTAATATTACTTTCGTAATATTTTTAAATAAATCGTAAAAAAATTACGATTAAGTTTTAATTAAATTTAAAATGTTATTTAATGTTTTAAATATTAAACTACCGGAAATTATTATATTAAATTATTAAAAATTATTTCGGCGAGCCGTTATAAATTAATTACCGGATACGTAGTTAATTATTTATATTTTTTATATTAATAAAAACGTTTATTTTTAAGTTATAAAAAAATGGTAAGTTGTTAATAACGAAAAAGAAAAAAAAAAAAAAAAGAAAAAGATCGACCCGTGGTAATAAGCGCGGAAAAATAAAAAAAAATTAATATATAACGTTAACTTAAAAAGTATAATAATTTAAATACGATAAATCGTGTAAATTTACGTTAATTAAATAATTATACGAATAAATTAATAAAATAATTAAAAATTTTATTTAATAAAATTCTTTATATTCGTAATGGCGTTTTATTTTTATAAATATATATAATTTATTTTAATAATAAGAATAAATTTAACGACGTATAAAATCGTATAAATAAAAAATTCGGTAAAAATTAACTCGTAATATTATTATATTTACGAATTAAATATATATTTTTTAAAATATAATAAGTAAATTATTATACGTTTCGATATTTTAATTTTAAATTACGAATAATTTTTCTTATAAAATTTAATAATAATAATATTAAAAAGCTTTTAAAATTAAAAAATAAAACCGATTTTATTAAATTTTATAACGCGTTAAAAAAATTGATCGATAAATAGCATAAAAACTTTTAAAAAAGGATAAAATAAAAAACCGTAAAAATCCGTTAAAATTATTTAAAAATTAAATAAATTAAAAATATTATACGATATTATACCCGGAAAGTATTTTAATTAATATTATTATAATATTAAATTATTATTAAATATTTATTTATACGAGTTAACTTAATCTCGTAAAGATTATTTTTTTACCATTATATTATATGGGATTAATACGGTTTATTTTATTATTATAAAATTCATGTACGAATTAATATAACGAACGATAATTTTAAAATAAATAATATTTTTAACGAAAAAATCTACCTTTAATAAAATATAAGAAAAAACTTAATAAATAATTAAATCGATTTCGTATATATTTTAAATATCGGCGATAATATAATTTTAATATTTATTAAAAATAAAGTTAAACTTTTATTACGGATTCGCGAATCGTATGTTACGAAACCGCATAAATAATTAAATAATATACTTTAAAGTTTTTTTAAAACTACCGGTTTAAAAAGTTTTAACATTTATAAACGACGAGAATTATATTTTAAATTATATTATTTTTTATTAATACGCGACGCGTTATAATAAAAGTTTATTATTATTAATAATAACGATAGCGATAATAACGATAATAACGTTAATGGAAAAAACTTAACTTTATAATAAAGTTAAAACCTCTTATAATAATTAAAACGAAATTTCGATAAATTACGTAAAGTAGTTTCGTTTTAAAAAACGATATTATAACTTAAAAAAAACCCCGGAAAACCACGTAAAAAAGCTTTAATACTTAATATAAAAAATAAATTAAAACGGCGTTATAAAAAATTTCGTAAAAATATTTAATAAAAAATATAATCGTTAAAAAAGTTTAATAAATATATTAATAAAAATTTAAAATTTAACGAACTTATTTATTTATATATTTATTTTAAACGAAACTTTAAAATATTTTTTAAAAATAATAAAAACATTTCGTATAATAATTTATTTAATAACGAATTATTTAACGAT